AGCTTTGAGAATTGTCTTAGGCGCTATGAAGTCGTCCCCAATAAATTCCCTCCAAGTAGAGTGCGTCGAGCCTCCACTGTATTTACGCAGGCAATACCTATGTGACAAATTCATACTTAAAATACTTTACAATTCTTCCCACCCGCTCATCCCAAAACTACTTACACTGGCTGATACATACGAATCTTGTACGGAGACCCGGAACCTCCCTTGTATTGTAGTAAGCTTCAATAAATTTTATAGGCCCTCTATTCTGATGGAGAAATTTGCCGTCAACCCCCTCTATCAGAACAGTTTCTACTCCCTTATATTTCAACCGGATATCCGTCTTAACTTTGGAGTTGAAAAGAACTCTCCGAGTGCTTCTCACGATTTCTCAGAAACTCTCTGTCTAAATTGGCAAGGATGGATACCGATGTACACGGACTCCTCTAGACTTACGGTAAACGGGCACGTCGGTGCCGCAGTGTGGATCCCAAATTACAGAATAATATTGAATTTTCGCCTTCCAACCCTCTCATCTGTATATACTGGAGAGTGTATCGCTATTCTGGAGGCCGTGTTGTACGCGGAATCGCACAGTTTGGACAAAACTATAATATTCTCAGATTCACTTAGCTGCCTCCAAGCTCTTGAGGCCAATCCATTCCGCTCAAAGTCCCGAACCCCTGCCGTTCTTAAAATTAGAGAAGCATTATTGAGATGCAAGAAAAAGGGTATCAGTATAGTAATTGCCTGGATTCCTGGGCATAGTGGAATAAATGGTAATGAAACAGCTGACGCTTGCGCGAAAAACGCAATTACTACAGGAATTTCTAATCACTTGGAGGTCCCTCATATGGACCTAATTCCTCTTGTACGCACCCATCTAACGCAGTCCTGGACTCTAGACTGGCAGAATACGAGGTCAAAAGCTGGCAAAAGCTATTTCGATCTACAACCTTTTATACCTAGTAAACCGTGGTTTTTCGAACTCAATAATGTCCCAAAAAAAGTTATCTCCGTCATTTGTCGCCTCCGACTTGGCCATGTTTGCACACCGGTACATCTGGCTAAAATTAAAGTTCGGGATAGTTCTCTCTGCGAGTGCGGACTGGATGAAGGGTCACCGGATCACATTTTTTTCAATTGCCCAAATACTCCCCATTCCCTTTACGATTTCTTACCCGAAGATATCCCACGTCCGCTTAATATTAAACTGCTCTTAAGGTCTATTAAAGAGGCCCCAATAATAAAAGCACTAACAAAATTTATCTGTATCAATAAATTAAAACTCTAACATAGCTAATCTGTGTGTCTAATATCCACTAATTATGTCCTGTATATGTTTATAAGTTAAATTAAAATTGTGGCGTCCAAAGTTTATGTTGTGTTGTTTTAGGTAAAGCGACCTAGAAAGAGATTTACTACCTATTCCAAATTGATTATATTAATCTATTATACCGTGTAGTGGTCTCCTACGTGAAATTGGCAGGATTGTGGTTAACACAAAATAGCCATTAAAATAGAAAAAGAAGAAGAAGAAGATTACTCATGTTCCATAGAAATTGCCACATACAAAAATTGTGATCTTAGGGCTTTGAGTAAACGAAAAAATGAGCAAAATTACGGTTGAAGGAAAATTCCATCATTATGCATTTAAGGGTTAAACTTTCTTTACATTGGTTGAATGCTTTTATCGCGTTTTCAGACCAAGTAATTTTAGTTTTGTCGCGTTTTTTTGAATTATGTAAGTACGCGTTTAATGGTGATGGAATTTCTGCTGCCTTTGGGATATTTTTTCTATAAAAATTTATCATACCTAAGAATCGACGGAGCTCTTCAATATTATTAGGTTGAGGATAATTTAAAATAGTTTGTATTTTTTGTAAACTAGGTTTGATGCCTTCTTAATTGATATGATAACCTAGAAATTGTAATTGGAATTTTCCAAATTCGCATTTTGATAGATTTATAGTAAGTTTTCCAAATTCCAAATTCGCATTTTGATAGATTTATAGTAGTATCACGTCGGGGTCACCACTTTACCGAAATGTTTTGTGTTTTATTTATTAGTATATAGGTTGATATTTGACTTATTGATAAGTTTACTATCTGACTCTATTTATACGAAGGATCGGTAAAATAAATAAACGTGTTCACAGTTATGAGTTTACTTTCAGACTATTTGATGTTGAAGTGCCACTTATAAAATACAAAATATCATAGATTGCGTTGCCACAGAGTGGTCGACAAAGATTATAAAACAGATGTGCCAGAATATAAAAAGTTGAAAAATCAATTATTCAATAAATAATATGGGAAAAATATGCGTGTTTTATTTATGGCTTTGTTTTTCCTTTTTTATTTTAATACAACAATAATAACAAGTTAAAACTTATCAGACTGCTTTATTATTATTGTTGCATTAAAGCAAATATAATGTGAAAAATAGGAAGTCGGCTAACTATCCAATAAGGGCTGTATATCTAAGTGCCCCCGCACACCAGGCAGCCTCGCTACGCAGCCTGGTTGCGGCAGCCAGAATATTTGCGCTAGTCTATATGGACGTAGAACTTATAATTATTGCTTACCTATCTCGTAAAAAACGCAAAACAAAGAAAAGACCCTGGATTCATCCTGTTTTTCTAGAAAGACTCTCAAAAGGCTTATTTCAAAGATCACTGTATTCTTTCACTGTAGGCTTTCAAATTCTTTCTTTCAAATCAAAGTTCGGGACGCAAAATACTTCTGGCTGCTACAACTAGTGCGCGGAAACTGAGCGCAGCCACATACATTCGCTTACAAACGGTCTGACAAGTGCAAACAATGCCTTTGAAATTTAAAATGCCTTTGCCGATAGTAGAGCTATTATAATTAAAACTAATGAAGTTGTCATGTGCCACTGGCTCCACGTTCGTTCTACAAAGCAATTTTATTTTAGGAAGTCGGTTGTCTGATACCTACTAAGTCTGTGGGCCAGATGGTTTCCAGCATAGATAATTCATAAATATTGGTTTCCAGCACAGAGAACATTATTCTGAAATTTCCAGTTATGGCTTAGCTATGTTTTCCAGCAGAGTAAAGCAAGGCTTCCAGACATGACATAATTTTGAAATGTTGAAAGGATGAATGCGATGAATATAATGATTATTACAGTGATTCAGCATGGGTATAACCGCTAGGTATCTCTTTTGCCTAATAAATACAAGATTCGAGTCTAGGCTTCACCGATTGGTAATTTCAAAATTAGGACCTGTAAGGTCCTCGCACTTAATAAATTCCAGGGTATCTCAGTTGGGAAGCAGTTCCAGCGTAAGTATTTTAGTCATTGCAACGTCCCTTGAGCTGTGGCCATCATTCACCTTGAATCAGACTACCTCTTACAAGTTATTCCAAACGTCTCCAACTGTTCATATGTCATAAGGAAATGTGGAAGCTGTGCGATTGCCTAACTCTAGATTAGGAAACGCGACATCTTTGCTAGTAATAACGATATTTTAGACGATAGTCAAAATAACATCGTTAAGATGTCGTATCCTAACTAGATGAGTTAGACAATCGCTCTTCGATATGATAAGCAGACAGGCAGTTTGTTCTCTGGCCTGTCTCGCTAGTAGGTAGTTTAAAGACACAAAATTAGCATGTGTATTTGAATGCAAAATTATTTTCACTCGAGTTGTATAATTTTTATATTATGCTGTTTTAATTCACTGACTTCATAATCACTGATGATTGTATATGCATAAATCATAAGAAAATTATCATTTTATAAAGGTAACTACTGCTTTTTCATTCTCAGTCTGCTTTTTTTATTCTCAGTAATTTCCATGCTTGTAATATTTATAATTATTACAATCAAAAAAATATTCTTGAAAGATAATCTTTCAAAGTAGATTTTTCTTAATTAGCCCTAATAATAAAATTTTAAATTTAAGGCTACGTGTTTGTGAATTTGAAGGCTAGTGTTCGGTGCATAATCGAACATGTAATATTTGCATTTTGTATACCTACGATTAATAATCATGTGTTTAAAGTAGGTCTTTGCCCGCGCTATACTGTCATCAAATCGTTTACGTAAATCAGTGTATTTTTTACCGTTCATACAGTCGGATGCACTCATAAATATTCATTTTATCATTTTAACATTAACAGTAACATAACCTTTTGTGAATAAGTAAATATAAAATTATTCTTGTAATCAATTTTATCATTTAACATATGAAATAGGTATTTTGAATAAATATTCCTTTTGATTTATAAATTTAAGTATTGTTTTATTTTATTGTCACTCTAGGGTTTCTATAGTTTATTTAAATATTCATTACAGCCCAGTCAAATTAGCGTTTTACTTCTGAAATATAAGCTGGAAACTCACATAAAATAAAATCTTGATGTTCTAAAATTTATCTTGAGATATCTTCTCAGTATTCTTTATATTCAACTACCGTTTAATATTCTCCTACAAACTAACACATGTTAATAATCTATAACAGTGAAGCCGATAATGCTATACATTCTTTCCTGCACTCGTATTTTTACAAAAGTTATAAGATTATAATCGTTGCCATGGAAACCATTCTAATCACAAAACATCACAACAAGTTACCGTTCCTTTGTTAATATTTGTTTTGAGGTTTAAAAATGTTAATTTTAACAAATGCCATAAAGTAATGACCCATTACTGCAGTGTATTCAAAAACTCATGTCTCCGAGTGCCAGTAGATCCTGTAAGTAAAATGCCAAAGACAGCCTACGAACGTAAAACAAAACCAGTGCTTGATCAATGCTCTATTGATTCGTCGACAGCATGTTCCGTTTCCCCAGACGTAGAAGCTGAAAAATTAAAAGAATTCTACCACAGTATTCCAGATTATAACGATATAAACCACTTATCTGAAGAAGAATTTTATTCAACACTGAAATTGCTGAGAGAAAGGAAGAAAAAGATGCTAAATTTAGCTGTGGAGCACATTGATGACAATTGTTGCAATTCTAAATACGCTGATAATATTTATGATGTAGAGCAAATTAACATTACGAGTTCTACATTTAATAATAAGCAAACTAAATCCAAATTGAATAATACATTAAGAAGACGATATTCAGACGACAGAAAGGCCAAATGCAACGGAAATGATAAAAAAACAAAAGAGAGTATTTTATTAAAACCGGATGCAGAAAAAAGAAGTTCTAAGAAAATGACGGTTAAGGATTTGGACAAAGATGTTATGGATGATATAAAAGTGACTTCTATTAAAACAAGTTCTATTAAAGATAAAACTAAATCAGAACGATCCAATAGAATTCATTCAGCATGTTCTATTTCATGGAATGACGACAATGTCGCTCTAAAAAATGATAGCGATGATCGGTACTTTGATAAAAAGAAATATCCTATTAGCAAAATTGACATAGATGATGAATTCAAAACACGTAGTATGCCATCAAGTCCCTTGAGAACAAAACGTTATACATCTCCGGTTAGAAAAAAGAACATCACTATTCCAAAACCATTTAAAATGACTGAAAGGTAAGGTCTTAAAGGTGAAGCAGAAAAATAATGATTTAAATGTTTATATTTATTTTATTATTGTTTTCTAGAGACGAAGAAGATCGTATTATAAATGAATTACGAAGTCTCCAAAAATCATTTTCTGAAGATATGTTACACCAAAAGTGTGAGAGGAGACAGTTTCGTGCTAGACCAGTACCGATAGAGTCCCGTATACCACTCTACGACAAAATACTCGAAGATCAAGCTATGAGGTTTTCACACTACACCCAAGCACACTCAGTACGCTTTTATTAGTTTACACTTTTGTTTGAGCTTTTTTCTTTGATTTAGTATGATGGTAAGCTTTATAAGCTTTATACAGCCGAATACATATTTATTGTTGACAAAGTGACCCAGTGAACTTTGTGCAGCCCAACTTCTGTGACAAAATAAATATGCTGCTAACCTCCTTTTCTCATTTTTTCTCTGATAAGAATCTTATTTGGATTTCAATGAATACCATTATTCAAAAAAGCCGAATTGGTTTATTTATTCTTGATTTTGCGTTCAGATACACATTTGGCAATTCATTTTTATTTACATACGTACGTACTCGTAGATTTAAGTTTGATTGATTTAGTTTGGGTTATGTCGGTTGCATTGGTTCGTCTGTGAATCTCTACATTTCTGATTTGATCTCACAGAGGAATTCTGAGCATAGCCCTCTCCACCGCCTACTAAACGACTGTAAGGCTATTTACGAGGCTTACAATTAGCGATTACTTGTCAGGGTCAAGTCAGTACTAGCAACACATATTGGTTCAAACCTTTGTTCTGAGATCATAAAAAAATATTTCGATGCTCTAGAACACAGCATAATTCTGTGCTTGCTACATTTTGTCTGTGGTATAAACGACCTTAGAGATTTAGAATTTTAAATTCATTTTTCTTATAGAGTCTGGCAAGCGAAACGTGTCACAAGAAAAGGGCGGCAATTTCAAAAATTCTTAAGCAGTAAACACTGAATGTAGTACTGCAAAATAATTTTGATACTTTTATTAATTATATTTAATCTTAACATTTAGATATCAATTAAAATTATTTGTTTTGGAACATTTGACTAAAGCGTGACTGTTCTTAATTGTACAGTTAACAGCATATCAGTAGGCCTATTCACTAACTCAACTGACAACCAAGAATCGTCATCACCGTAAAAAATAGACACTTTGATTGTGTCAAAATCACTATTTCGTATTCTCTATCAATGATGAGCAATTTCGAAATGTCAATATCGGCATTCTCCACTGGACTCCATTTTGACACTTGATTTCGTATCGATAAACTGTATTAAAGTAACATTGTTGCAAAGCATATTTGAAGTCGTCGCATAGTACCTCTTAAGCCATTTGTTGTTAAATTAAAGCGAAAAAAAATACGTATCCAATATTTTTCTATTATCTGACTGACGGACTAAATCGAATCTTTTTTTTAACCCATTCGTTATACCTATTGGCTAACAGCACTTATAATATTAAAAATTCATATTTGTCATTAATTAAAAGGGTGTTTTTTGCAACGACTTCTTTGTTTTTTTGTAATGAATATGGGCGACTCTGGCCACATTTTTTTAATAAATGTGATGTTAGCCAATTTTGATTTCTGGCCCTTATATTTATAATGTGTTCATAACACATACATGTCTCCTAAGGGATTTTCATCACAACCTTTTGCTCTGATCCAGAACCACTATCTATCAAATTAAATTAGTCAATATAAACACCAGATTACAATAAAAAAAACATTTATTTTTGTTACAATTAAGTGCCATGGATAAATTACATAATACAGGTGTCACAAAATCATCATGTTAATCACAATAGAAAATTTAAGATAAGATTTTGACTATGAATCAGACTAAAAATACTTTAGTCTGATTCATAGTCAAAATCTGTTTCTAAATATTCTACACCTGATAACAATGACAAGGAATCATCAGAGTCACTCTCTTCACTACTGTCTGCACCAACAGATATAATAAATTTTTCAAGTTCGTTTTCAACAATGCCATCTTTTAATTTGTAATCATTTTCGACATTTAAAACATGATCAGTGTATTTCTTCCAGTCACTAGGGGTAATTAAGTTAAAACACTCTATTATTAAGTTTTCCATTTCCTTTCCTGGTATTCCAATGTTTCTGCTTGCAATTTTTCTTTTTGCTTGACTCCAAACCATCTCTATTGGGTTTAAGTCACAATGATACGGTGGCAGCAATAAAAGTTCATGATTATGTTCTTTTAAAATCTCTTCAGTTTCATATACAGGCAATGTTTTCTTATCATTAACCAAACACATTAACTCTGCCTTTGTCTGATATTCCTCAAAATGTATTCCATTATTTACAAGCCATTTACGGATATCTGCTTTGGTATTAGACATTATAGGCGGTTTATTGATTTGTTTTATATGGTAGCTGGCATTATCCATAACAATTACACTGGGCTTACTTAAATTTGGTATTAATTTTTCTCTGACCCATTTCATAAAGTTCGATGAGTTCATATCATCATGATAATCAGCAGATTTGGATTTACTACTGAACACTAATAATGCACCAGGCACAAAACCTTCCTCAGATCCAGCATGCACAACAATATGCCGTTTTCCAGAGGATATCTTTGTAGTGACACCAGTTGTTGAAGGTCCTTGCCAAGACTTTTTAACTTTATAATTCTGATGTACATAAGTTTCATCAAGGTACACAATTTGCTTTCCTTCGTTTCGTTTTATATTTATTTCTCTCAAATACTTGTGCCTCCATGCAGAAATCTGGTATTTTTCTATAAGCATAGAACGTTCATTTTCATTGCTTTTAAAAGAAAATCCATTCTTAAGCATAATTTTTCGTAAAGTCTCACGGCTACCACTGAATCCTATTGCATCTTTTAATTCATTGTGAAGGCTTCTTAATGTTGGAACAATTTTTTTCACACAGTAAAATTCATTTACTTTATTCCGAATTGCACTTAAATCAAAATTATCTAAAGCAGACACTGTTGGTTGATGAGGTCGTTTTTTCCCAGGAGTGTCCCATTTTCCTTTATTAATTAATGCTTCATTTTTTATCCTTCTTAGTGTCCTTATACTTACATCTATAAAAGATTAAACACTTTGAAACAAAGATATGTTAAATGTATTTAAAAGCAAATAATGATAGACACATACATCAAAATAATTTAAATACCTATTCAACTATGAATGCAATTTATGTTTAATTTAGTTAAGTTTATGTGCATATTTAGCATGTATAACAATTACATGGTTTGATTAGTTTCATGAATTCTGTGAATTTCCTTGTTAAACAAAACATTCTTATGACATCATTGGATGTCAACAATAAAAACCAATACATCATAAAAAACCTATGTAAATATTATAGGAATACTATCAATCTATCTTAAATCAAAACAAGAAAAGAGACCTGTCATTGAAGAAATTTTTTGTAAGTACTGCGTTTCCGAATTCAGCATTTCTTGTTTTTCTAAAGTTTTTATTGCATTTATCTCCTCCATTATTGGTTGAATATCACCATCACAGTTATCTGAAATAGAGCAATATTTTATAAAAAATATCTGTTTAGTTAATTACAGAAAATTAAAACGAAAGTATCAAAATTATAATACAAAACTAACCTAAAAAAGATACAACTTTATCTAATCGTTGTAATTTCTCCATGAAATTTTTATTTAATTCAGTTTTCACTTCAGTAAACTTGTCAATCATGATGGAAAGAAGTTTCCTCGATGAACTTTTTATCGGCTTCGACATAATTTTTAACCAAAAACACAAGTTCAAATTCGCAAAAACAACAAAATTCAATATTCTTGAATTGTCTAACGTAGTGTCAAACTGACAGTTCTATGTTGTTGCCATATGAAAACGGAAAAATAGGTGGTGTCACGTTTCGCTTGCCAAACTCTACTATCGAGCACACTTATGAAAATATAAGGTCATTTAGAAGCTAATCACTAGCCGAGTCAAAATTAAAAAGCTATCAATTTAAAGTCCTACGTGTTACCTACTATATAGAAATAAGATTCATTATTAAGTTCATAAATAAGATAACCTATACTATACCTGCCTATTTATATTTGAGTCATTTATTGCATTTGCCTTGATTACAGTTTTGGTTTGCTTAAAATTAAATAAACTTAGTTAAATAAATATGTAATACCTATTGTAAAGCTGCTACTAGCAAAATATAACAAACTCATTTTTATTTACCCATTGTGATTATTAGATCTTCTCTCATTTGCAGGAGAGCCATTACAAAGATCAATAGTGAAGCCGAGTTACGTGCGCAAATGAAACCGTTCAGTTTCACAAAAAGAGAGGAGAAAGGGCTCAGTGGAGTCTGTGAGAGGGCCACACACGTTTTGCCGAAAAGCAAGAAAAGGAAGCGTTTTCGGGCCAGGCCAGTGCCGAAAGACTTATTCTCTAACTATTTTTATGACAAGATTAAGGAAGATCAATTCTTTAGGTAAGACTTATAGAAAAAGATATACATTATTAAAAAAAAAACTTTTTTCAAAAGAACCGAGTTAAAGTTTAAAGAAGTAATAAATAATACTTATCTCAAAAGCAACTTATTCAAGAAAATGCTATTGAAGTTGGGTGGAGGTTTTCTGCAGGTTGTTAATTTAATGATGAGAGCCCGACTTTAAAAGAATTTTCCTGATTAAGCTGCTTTAGAAACAAGTATTATCACATTTTCACATTTTTAATTCTGTTGTTGGTTCTATTTTTTGTTAAAAAAAAATTATTTCATGATTTTTGGTGATATTAATATTGTTTTTATATAAAAATATCACCTAAAATAATATTAAATATCTGTCTATATATAAAAATATTAAACATGGTGATAGTCTAAGAAAATGAGATTTTGTATTTCCGAAAATTTATAATCATATTAAAAAGAGGAAAGATTTGATTGATTGTTTGTTTGCATTGGATTGTCTCCGGAATTATTGGACCGATTTATAAAAGTCTTTCATATCGCTCACTGAATAGTATACAGTGGCACAACTCAAAAACCATTATTTCGAGAAAACGCGTCAACATTGTGGTGGCATCTCATAGATAATTTAAAGAAAAAATAAAAAACTTAACAGTAATAATATAATACAAACGGTTTCACTGTTATGCTAAAAAATTTGATTTTCATAATTATAAATATATTATTTTTTCATAACTTCGGAGAGCGTTTCTCGAAATTATGGTTTTTGAGTTGTGCCACTGTATTATTCAGTGAGCGATATAATATGGGTGGCTACATAATACGCGGAGGAACATAGGCTATATTTACGCAAGCGAAGTCGCGGGGAAACAGCTAGTTTGATAGAAATTTGTTCATTATTCAGGAAGAAATCGATGAACATTCATACTTTCATAAAAAAATATACATACTCGTTGAACATAGAAAATCCTACTATCTGATTTTGAATGAATGCAAATTACGCAATCTTTTGTTAACATATTTTAATAATTTTTTCTTTGAATGTTTAGGTGATATTTAATGAAAAGCGTATTTTTTTGATTATAAAAGGAAACTACTGATTCGATTTCGATAAAAATTAAATAGTACTACCTTAGTCCATTAAACTGTCGCATAAATAAGAATTTTGAAAATCGGTCAACAATTGGCGGAAATATCGATGAACATACATAAAAAACACATCGCCGTCTAACATATAACCACCTCATTTTAATTTTGAAGTTGGTAAAAATCTGGAAGTCAATGCTATCATTCCGTAAGACAAAATATTTTGAATGTTCTTTCTTCTTATCAACAGAAATATAAACCGCAAAATACGAGCAGAAGAATTGCTGCGTGTTTCTCATTATCCTGGTACAATGGCTACTCGTGACCGTAGTCGGTTATCAACTCCAGCTGCTCACAGTGATTTACCTATAGATCCATCTCCGGCAAACCCTTCGATTACATCATCAGATAGACAACGATCTTCTAGTCCTGTAAAGGGTAGAAGAAAAGAGAAGTCTTCAAAGGAAGATTTCATCACTACTAGTCCTCAACCTTTCAAGTTTAGTACGGCGGATAGAGCGGCGAAGAAAGTAAGAATTTATATACTAGTTTTTATAACATCAATGTTTTGAAATAATGTTTGTAACATAATATAAATCGTAGATTCAAGATGTTGCAAGAAAAATATATCAGGAGGGCACTGAAAGTGTTGGTAATAGCGCGACCAATGCTACACCGGGAGCTCGTGCGTATTCTGCATTGGACTTACGGGCAGCCGCGTCAGGCAGGTCTAATTTGGCTGCTTTACTTAGAGCAGAATCAGTCAGGCGAAAGTTTGAGATGGAAGCAGCAAGGCGATTACAAGAGCAACGTCGACGTTTGGAAATGCGACATCGCGATAAATTATTAAGATCAAAGCCCGCATGGCATTTAGTAAAAAATAAGTGAGTTAAACTTTAGAATAAATTACTGAGATCCACGTTGAATAATGAATATGACGTTTATTTTTTTCCGTTTCAGTCATGAAGAAGATATTGCTATGAGACTACAGACACGACGAGATGAAGAAAAAATGAGACGAGAGGAGTTCCTTCATGAAATGGAATTAATGTATGGGCGAGTCCAAGAACAACCAATGCTTTTCGAGAGATATTATGCTCCAAGACCGCATTACTTATCTTCTGAAACTCTCCAATTATCACCAAGAAAAGGAAACAAAAAACGTAGCACGAAAACTAAAAACTACCATTACAATAGTCCTACGAGATCACGTAAAGTCTCTATTAACGATATGGCTGAGACCTTCCATGGTGATGTTTCAGAGTATTTAAATAAAATTGATGATGATAAACTGTATTCCGATTCGGAAGTAGCAATAGATAGTTTAGACGGTGGTAAAGTATAAAGGAAAAATAAAGTGAAAGTAATGCAAAGAAATATTTTTATTCTCAATCCTCTATGTTGTTTAGAATCCAATGGAGAAGAGGAGTTATTCTAGCATAGAGTCCTGGTATTCCTTCTTTACCACAGTACTTGTTTCCATGACTAGTAACTCCAACAAGAAACCAGTTTGTAGTTCCATTTATTGTCATTTGTTTGACTAGTGATCCCCCTGAATCACCCACACAGGTATCTTTGCCAGCCACACCACCAGCGCAAATAACAAATGGTGCAGTTTCATCAGTAATTGATCGCACTTTATTGCGACAATCGCCTATAGGCACAGCGCTTATCGCCAGTTTCTGTTTTATATTTGATTTGTTTTCTACAACAAAAAGCATATCTACTCGTTACTTTTCAAATTAACAGAATGATTAATTAAAACAGGATTGCTGCCATGTACCTTATATTTTATGAGTTTTAGATATTTCAGCGCTGTTGCAAGTGCCATAATAATGGAGTTGTCGTTTCAATTATTCCCCTGACCATTTTTGATATGTAGTAGCGTTCAAATCAAATCAAATCAAATCAAATCCATTTTATTTGGCACAATATAAAATAATAAACATTTATCAAGCGATGCGTGTCCCACAGTTGTACCAAAAAAAGGTGTCTAGCTCAGCATATGCCGATCTCTTTTACTTCTTAAAAGTAAAAAGAGACCGACGCTGATTTTCAGCTAGACCCCGTTTGAATCTGTCACACGGATACAAGGACGGTCATGTACAATCTATATTGATATATATACATATAAATACACACATAACTATAATTTTCATAAATAAGATAAGGAGACAAATATTTTAAGCAAGTCACTACATAAACTAATATACACGTGAGATGGCGCCATAATGTCGCACCGAGCATCACTGTCTCGCCGCGACGAATGCATCTGTTGCGGCGAGCAGCGGTGCAGCCCGCAACGAGCGGCACGCGATGTCGGACGTGCGCACGTCATTCGAAACCCCACATAATGAGGCCACCGAAAATCACGAGTTAGCTGTTAAATAACTAAGTGCACAAAGCAGACGATAGTAATAAAAATTGGTAAGTCCCAACTTTGTCACTTTCTGTAAAATTTTAATACATTTCATGTTCATCCAACGAATATAATTTGCTACAGGAAGAAAACAATATTACAACAACAAACCAGCTTAGTACCGGTATGGACCTATGACGTGACGTCACCTCGGACGCTCCGCCCGCGCGTAGGCCACACTCAATAGGTACAACAATTGATGCTTTTAATTGACAATTAATTAAGTAATATCCACACGTATACATATGCATATATAATGATTTTCAGAACTATTGCGGAACAAATGATACTTTATACATATACATAATATATATTATTAGAAGTCGGATTAGGTAGTGAATCAATCCCAATTGCCTTACAATAAATAACATGCGAATAGTTAATCAAAAAATATTACAAATCATAAACCACATAGATCTAGTAACTAAGCATTCAATTCTGTTGTATATTGAATATAGTATAAATGTATTTAACATTGAAGATTACTTCACAGACCAATCAAAATAATAATTAACTAATTTCATTGTTTAAATAAAAACATTTAATTTAATTATGACATAAGAAATTAATAAAAATTATTAATATTACTATAATTTACTAATACTATTATTCAAGCTTGTGGTTAGATATTAAATTAAAATATGTATAAAAAAAGAAAAATGCGTAAGATAATGAGTACCTAATAATAAACCATGCTCCTCAGGCCACCACTTATGTCATGTAGCAGACTTGGTGACAGTGTCGCGGAACCGCTGCAGGCTTCCACGGATCAAACACCACCAGGATTAAGTACCCAATTAATTATTTGAATATTTTTATTATATAAGCAGATAATTTTAACATGACTTTTAATTCATTATTAGATTAGTTTATTCTATGCAATTGTGATATATTAATGACGCTCGTCACGGACTATATGTGTGATATATCTATGTCCACACTACCCAGCTCCCGCTGCGCATCGACTAGATATTGGCGTAAGTGTCTTTTGAAACTGTAAATGGATTTGCAACTTCGAATTGGAGGAGGAATATTGTTCCATATCTTAGTCGCTGCGTAACGGAAGCTGCCACGAAATGATGCGGAGCTATACGTCTGTGTAGAAAGTTGCTGAGAGCACTGCCTTCTATCACCCTCTCTCTTTATGCCTAACCAATTTAGTTTTTCGTACAGATATTTTGGCTCTTGGGTTTTAATGACGCCGAAAAGCAAAAACGCAAGGTGGAGTTTTCGTCTTGATTTCATTTTGAGTATGTTATTTTTAATTAAGAAAGGAGTAACATGGCTGCGATAGGGAATAACGAAACAAAAACGTGAGTCAGTCAGTTCAGTCGAAGTAATCTGTGACTTATGGAGTTCGATCCAGTGGTTAGGTCCCGAATCAATCAAATTTTGTCTGTTGTAATCCCTAATTACTTCGATCTGTTCGTTCATTCGGCAAGCTATTGTTTGTATGGTTTGGCCAATGTACGAACTACCACAACTGCAGTCAGTCTTATAGACACCAAGTTTCTCTAAGGGGGGGAGGGGGGTTGTATCTTTTCCTGTGGTGGTTGTAACGTCTCCTATCTTTAGGAGAATGTTGGTATTGTGAAATTTTTCGTAAAGGAGTGAAAACAGTATTTATCGACTACTTATTAAGAATATTAGAGATCTTGCTAGTCACTCCTTTTCCCAAAAATACAGCTTGTATGCTTACTTTGTGCCTCTGGTCTCTAATTTTGTGTCTAGGTGGAAATCGTCCCTTGTATTCATTACTTTATAGGACCTTTTGTACATGGTCGTGCTCCTTGTGTAAGTGTTCATTATTACACTTAACATCCGCGCGGTTGCTGAGTGACTTCATCACAAGTTCAACTCATGGAGAGAGCGGTCAGCGTGTGTCGGTTTGCGGTATACGGACAAAACCAGAGGATAAATCAAAAAAGTGTCGTTTCGCGATTGGATACAGTGAGTGTTGTGTGTTAGCTAGTGCAAGCTAGTGGTGACATAGTGAACGGTGGTATGGGTATCGAATGTAAAAGAATTCGAAAGCAGGTAGATCGATATAGCTGCAAATAAGACCCACCCGCATAAATTTCTGTTACTCCGTGAACATGGCGCTTGCAACAGCGCCAAAACATCGGAAATTCGTAAAATATGAGGTAGCAATCATTCTGATGTCGTAAAATATAAGGTAGCAATCATTCTGATATTGACCATGAAAATTAAAAAAAAAACATGTTTGTATAATATGGTTTACATATTTACAACATAGTAAATATGTAAACCATGTTTTACTACACTTGTATTTTACTTACTTTTTTCAGTTTTCCCCCAACCAGCAGTCCAATAAACGCTTTCGGAAGAATTATCCTGTCTGATGGTATCGTCTGTTATAGGTAAACATATTGGCCGAACAAAATCTGAAAGATTTAACCATTACACTGTGCCATCAGAAATAAGTAGTAGAGTATCTGTATAATAAAATATCTTACCGCTATAATAAATTGGTTTTTGAAGTCGCAGTAACGCTACGTCACCTTTAAAGAGGTCAGATTTCCTATATTCTGGGAAAATCTTTACCTGGCTTACTGAGACGTCAACAACAGGATCACTACAAACTCTACCCTGGCAATCAGTTTCCGTTTCTGTGTTCCAATCCCCTAGTCTTACTTCTTTTCTGTGAATTGTTAAAATATATAAATCAAGCAAGTACTTGCGATCTGATAACGATTTATCAAACTGTGGATTTTGCGCTCATTTAGCTAATCCAGCGTAGTGAGTTTGTTTGAGTTTTACGTTACGAATTCCTTAGTGAGTTGTTAATAAAATTGTGTCGAGGTTTGTAGTTCTTTATAACTACTGCTAGGAGCGCTGTGCCGGTTTCCATACTAACATTTTAATGCGAATCGAAGGTCGTATAAGCTCACGTTGAACCCTCTGGCACTTATACAGGCTTTTCCTTTCAGTACTGTAGAAAATTATACTATTCCATAGTTTTGTTGTGTTTTATTCGGTAAGATACATGGTGGTAACAATATCTGTTGCGTAAAGTAAATTCATTCAAACTGCTTTTTTATTTGTGAAAAGAACTATAATTATACAGTATACAGGAGTATATTTCTTTGATCACACATGACTATGGAATAATGTTAAAACAAATCTAAATTAAAGTATAAAAACATTTGGATTATCTAGTCTAGAGAGTATCATAACAGAATAGGCACCATTGGTAATGTGCTAGTATTTCAGTTGTAAGAGTATGAAAAGCACTAAGAGTAGAAAATTAATTTGTATCCGTGTAATGGCGACTAAACTAAGTATAAACTTATGTGATTTTAACCTCTTTGCATTTATATTACCAGCCGGGCCCTTTTCACAAAGTGCATAAATAATCAAACTTGCCTAAATATAACTTACGCTGTTAAGTTGACGAGACAATGAGCTGCTGTTAAGACATAATTTTGAGTAATTAATGAACCCGCGCATGCATAAACTTCCCTACCACTGTCTGTAACAAAATGATATGGTATAGTTAATATATGGCATTTAAAAACTTGTAATTGTGTAAGATGTTATAGTTCCTAGAATATATGATGAGTACGTACCCGTCACACATTTTACTCTCGCGAGCCACGGAAATTCATTAATAGTAGTATTTTCACCGCCATAAATTCTTTCTTCTTCAGATAATAGTCCGCAAACACTTCTATTTGGTAGTAAGGTAACTGAATTATATGCATTTAAGTTTTGTAATGGTCCATTCACATTTTCTGCTCTCAACATTATTTCTTGTGCTAATTTAGAAAACGTTTTTAGTGTGATATCAATTCAACTATAAGCACAAGTAGGTAAATAAAGATTACTTACCAGAGAAAATCATTGTCAAAAAAATGAGAACGGTACACCTCAAATGGTCGACACATAACATAATTATTTATTTTGCTTTAACTTTGATGTGTCAATTTTGTGCAAACGAGCGGTTTTAAATGTTCACAAATCGTAACTGACTAACTTGGTTTTTATTTGTTTTGTTATATAGGCGATTATCCGGAACTCTTGATTACAATAAGATTGGGGTTTTGAAAATAGTAAGGTTATGTTTGTTTCGGAACTCAAACCAGTTATGTATGTTAGAACACCAGCTTAATTTATTGATTAAAAATAAAGTATGATTATGATCATGTCATACGAGGGTCAAACTGAAAGTTCTTAGAACTGGCCACTTATAAACAATATAATAAAAAAATAATTCTAAAATTTGAAAATATAACTCTTTGCCAATATTACTGAGTATATATTTCATTCATTTGTCATTTGTTTTACGATTTGGCGGCAAATTGAAAATTGTCTGTGTCACGTCATCATGAATTTAACACGAGAAAATTTTCGTGCAATGATTTTTTATGACATTCGATGTCATTTAAGTCAACAAGAAAGTTATGATAGACTACGATTGGCCTTTCACGATGAAGCCCCATCTCGTGCGACTGTTTACAACTGGTTTAATGAGTTTAAACGTGGTCGCACTAATCTCACTGATGATTTACGTGAGGGACGGCCTTCTACGGCGACGACTGAAGATAACATCTGTGTTGTGCGGCGTATGATAGAGACTGACAAAAGAGTGACCTATCAACAGATTCGGACAAGCTTAGGCATCGGTATGAGTCAAGTGCACAAAATCCTCCACGAACATTTAGCGGTCAGGAAGCTTTGCGCCCGGTGGATACCTCATAATTTGACTGAGGCTCAAAAACTCCATCGTGTGGATTGGTGTCGTAAAATGATTGAAAGATTTAACGGAGGTGACTCAAATGCTGTGTTCGACATACTAACAGGTGACGAAAGCTGGATTTACTGTTATGATCCTAAAACCAAAAGACAATCTGCTCAGTGGGTGTTTCCTTTCGAGGAGTTGCCAACTAAAGTGAAGAGAGATCGAAGTGCGGGAAAAAAAATGGTGGCCTCGTTCTTTGGAAGGATAGGTCATTTTGCAACAATTGTGTTAGAGGATCAAAAAACAGTTTCTGCAGAATGGTACACTACCAATTGTTTGCCACTTGTCTTGGAAAAAGTTCGAGAGAAACGACCTCGCAGTAGGATCCTCCTTCACCACGACAACGCCTCGTCGCACACCGCCAAGCGAACGATCGACTATTTGGCGACATCAAACGTTGAATTACTGGGTCACCCGCCGTATAGCCCCGACCTCGCGCCTTGTGATTTTTATTTATTTCCAAAAATTAAAGAAAAACTTAAAGGAAAGCGGTTTATGAATGCTGAAGAAGCGGTGGCTGCGTATCGCGATGCCATTGAAGAGACCCCTAAGGACGAGTGGGCAAAGTGCTTTTCCCAGTGGTTCCATCGCATGCAGCGGTGTATTGACGTGAATGGACAATATTTTGAAAAGATATAATAAAACTAATAACTGGCTAATGTAATCAGTTTTTGATTTTCTAAGAACTTTCAGTTTGACCCTCGTATTATATAACTCAGACAAAGAAAAATGTGTACGTTATTTGCGATGGAATATCGCACCTAGGTGGGTAGCATTATTAATGCAGTAAGGTAGAATTATTTGGAATCCATTTAGGAGCATATGACGCCAAGTTATTTTTCTTTATTATTAAACTTAAAAATATATTTTTATTGCTTTTCGTAGTTCAAATAAGTATATCGACTAAACAATTGTACAGCTTCTTTGCAATCTATATTTAAATTAAAGTAAATAAGTAGCTCATTTTTGAAACAAATCAAATCATGCGAAATAAATTATAATTGTCTGAAATAACGTACAATACTTTATTATAAAAAAAGGGTGGTAACCCTAGCGCCGAGCGAGGTCACGTGCCGCCACCCTGTTTATTTACAGCGGGAACGTTAGCAATTGAGATAAGAATTTTACGGATTGTTATGACGATTTTTTACAGTAAAGTATTGTGTTAGATAATAAATAAGAAGTCCTATTTTTTTTTAATTTTATAGAATTTTAGCTATACAGGAATATTTTTTCTTCAATGCGAAAATTTTTTATGGTGATTCAGTATCAGTAATAGAACACTTTTCCATACTTAGTTAATTTTTTTTTAAATATTTTTATCCCTATTGAAACGAATAAGGACACATTTTTTTAAATAAAACTTCAATGAAAACGTCACCTCTTGTGTATACCACCGTGCATCCCCACCGACCCCTGCCACAGCCCCCGCCGCTCGGGACCGGGCGACGCGCGCGACAGTGGCGGCGGCAGTGAGGCTCATACGCACGCGCTGATGTGACGTGTCCTCGCGGTCCCGCGCAAGCGCAGTGCCCGCCGTTCGCGCCGATCACGATGTTTTTACGAGATGGAACGAGTTTATCTTCTGAGTGGTGAGAACCTTAGCGCAGTTCGGAGAAAGTATGCGACGGAGAGCATACCTCGTATAATTTAAAAAATACGTGTTTGTTTAAATACCTCGACGGAGAGCCTTTGGGATTCGTAACCCCGGGGTCCCTAATGCGCGAATCATTTTAACAAACGAAGTCCCAGAGTCAGAGAAACACAATACCCACGATGCGGCACATCGCTTTGGTGTTAGCCAGCCCACGGTATTGAAGCTGCTTAATACAGCCTGACTCCATCCGTACCACTTTCAGCCGCTCCAACAACACCTAGACCCAGTACCACGTCGAGCCTTATGCGAGTGGCTTCTACATCATCGCGATGCAAACATCTTGTGAACGGATGAGGATCACACGTTTGGGAGTGTTTCTTGTGGGAAGAAGTCAAACGCCGGGATGTAGAGGAGGCACAAAGCCTAGAAGACTTAACAATAAAAAATAATAACGCTTTTAGTGAAGTGAGAAGTGACACACGTGTTTCAAATAAATTAAATGACAATTTAATGAAATGTGCACGTTTATGTCTGGACATAGGTGGACTTCATTTTTAACAAATATTAAAATACAGTGATCAGTACATGGTAAGCAATTATTTTTAGTTAGGTATTATTTTAACATACACACAATATTTGTACTAATTGACAATACTAAGCTTGTATTAATTTTTATTCGTTACAAACTAGACTGTAAAAGAGTATACTTATTACACTACACTGCTCTAAGTCTCGTAATAATATCTATAATAATTATTAGTTATCAATGAGGAAGTATTTAAAAAAACTTAAGAAACCACAAAAATTTATGTCACTAGATGGCAGCACAAATTGTTGGATCTAAACGTCAATTCATGATGGTAAACCAAAGTGAATTGTCAGTGTTGTTATGGATCTGATAACTCTGATTAAATTCGAGTTGAAATTTAATTAGTTCGAGTTATACAAACGCAACTCAATTAATACAAAGTAATCTTTAAATAAATATTTTTTTTATTTGTATAGAGAAAAAAGTATCGCTATAACCTCTGTACTTAGCAAAGTTATGGAGCGGCTTATTAATATTAAGATAGTTCGCTACTTGGAAGATCACTCTATAATTCAAGATCGGCAGTACAGGTTTAGGCCAAACCTGTCGACGGGTGATCTTCTTGCATGCTTGTTACATCGCTGGGGTGAGGCGATGGACGCCCATGGTGAAAACATTGGCTGTCAGTCTCGATATTGCTAAAGCGTTTGATAGGGTCTGGCATAGAGGCCTTCTCGCTAAACTTCCTTCTTACAGACTCCCTAGTACTTGGATCACCGGCTTCCTGGCTGAGCGAAGAATACGTGTCCTGGTGGATAGTAGGACTTCGTAATTTAAAATAATGAATGCCGGGGTTCGACAGGGTTCGGTATTTTAAACCACATTGTTCCTTCTGCATATTAATGACATGTTGCCTTTAGGCCTCATTCATTGCTATGCAGACGATAGCACTGTGCATGGCACCTACACCGTCGCACCGTCGAGTGGCGTGGGACCAACGATGAGAAATCGTCAAAATCTTCTCGTGGAACTCAATCGGTGTTTGGACTGTATTTCCAAATGGGGTTCAGATAATTTGGTTGAGTTCAACGCCAAGAAAACACAGCTATGCGCTCTGTCGTAGCCTCACAACAAAAGATAGCCTCAGCTTTCTGGGCATGGATATTCGCAGCGACCTCAACCCAAAATACCACATCGAAAGCGTTATAGTTGCTGCCTCTCGCAGGCTCGGAATTTTAAACAGAGTGCGCCGGTTTTTTACACACGAGCAACGGTGCTTGCTATATAAGACCCAGGTCAGGTCTAGCATGGAATACTGTTCGCATTTATGGGATGACTCCGCAAAATATCTGTTGGATGTTGAACGATGAGGGGCTAACCAACAATCTTGAGCCACTGCAAATAAGGCGTGATATTGCCTCACTCAGTGTGTTCTACCGGTTCTATAATGGAGAGTGCTCTGAGGAATTATTCAACATCATTCCCCCCTCCTTCTTCCGTAAAAGGTTGACACGTGCCGGTGTTCGCTGCCATTCCCAGACTGTTTGTACTATACCATCTCGTACAAAAGAATTCGGCAAATCATATATTTGCCGTACCATTAAAATGTGGAACAGTCTCCCATCCCACATTTTTCCCATTAAATATAACCTTGGGTGCTTCAAAAGTGGTGTGAAAAGGCTCTTTAATAGGCCGGCAAGATAGTGGTGGCTACCAGGAGTAGTTTCGACTTCTGACAGCTGCGACTATTATTAGACTGTAATATCACTTCCCACCAGGTATATAACAGTCACTTTGTCGTGCAACAATAAAAAAATAAATAAAAAACTAACACAATGGAAGTGAGCACAGAGGTTATTTTTTAATTTATGGAAATCAATTGAATTAATGCTGTGATATAATTGATATGATAAAACATATACTTTTCAATATTATTTTACTTTTTTGATACATTTTATATCATGTACTATTCCTTTAAGTAACAATACACAAACTAATAAAATGCTATATATAATGCTGTATCTATTTGAAATCAATATTTATAAAAATGTATTTATTTGGAATATTATATTATTCACAAGTATATTTACAATTCAATATTTTACGAATTTATAAAGAACTAACTTATGAAGCACATTACGGGTTACTAGGAGTTAAGTGTTTGCTATCTGTTTTCTTTGCATATACTGTTCATGTTTTTATAATGGACGACGATACTGCGCTGCCGCAATACGGTTTTTAACCAGTGCGGAGGGTAGTTGTCATATCGTGCATGTCACATTTTGTAATCTCTTGTATCTTACCAATCAAATTTGTTTATTTGAAACTTATTAGGCATAAAGTATCCAAACCATAAAAAATATAAAGTATGGATTTTTTTTATCGAAACAATAAATTGGTTGTATATGTGGTATAGTAGTGGTAGTGTTGTGGTATTTAAAGTGAATTTTTGCAAACGCGTCTTTGTTTTTAGGTAAATTTATTTAAATATTATATTACTTATAACTATGTGGATCGTGTAATAACGTAAAAGTAAATAACGTAAATCATTTCTACGCCATAAAACAGATAATGTCGGCATTGCGATTCGCTATTTTTACCAAATTGATCTAGAATATTGTAATTTTAAAAGGTAGACTTTAAATATGATAATATTAATAATATCTATTGTATATACTCTGTATACTGTCACATATCAATATTTCTTAAGCAAAAATCTTATTAAAAAAAAAGTTTATTGTCATGCTAAATCATGTGATATGTCAGCATCCATGGAAAAAGAGTTTATCTTTAAATTTATATTATATAAAATATTAGAACTATTAGTTAGTCTTTGTAAGGCAGAAGATAGCATAGAAAAAAATAAAGACTAAATAAATTAAAAGTGGTATTTACCTACAGTATACAATAATATAACCGCCAAATAGTTTTTATAAATAAAAGTAGGTCTAGGAATTTTTCAGGTCTAGTAGGTCTAGGAACTAGGTAAATATTAAATATTTAACAACATCACATACATTGCTCAGATTCCAAGATGAGTAGCTAAAGCTCCCGTATTATGGAGTATCTGAGACAACGAAGATACCACAACACCCAGACCCGAGTCAATATAGAAAAGTTCATTTTCTACATTGACCTGACCGGGAATCGAACCCGGGACCTCAGAGATGGCGACACCTTGAAACCGGCGTGCGAACCACTCGGCTACGGAGTTCGTCAAAAGTTAGTTTTATTGCTTTTAGTCGTTTGTTCTTACAACTACAAAACTACATCAAGTCTCAATAATATTTTTATATGATGTATGGTGAATGAATAAATAGGGTTTATTAATCAGCAATAAAAGTCATAAAAACGATAATTATAATAAAAAATACGTTTATTATCTATATACTTACCCGATATGTATCAAATATACTAGGTATTCGTACAATATAACATAACTTTTGGCTAAAATGACGTTTGTGGTAAGTGAAACGTGCAAATAACTTGTGCTTTCGAAATTAAGACTTTAAAAAACTATGATCAGTTATTAAATCTTATATTCAAAATTAAATCAACTTAATAAACATTCAGCAATCAACAAGAAACAATTTATAATTTTAAATTTCAAAATCACAGTTATTATATTATTGCTACTGATCTTGCATGTCGACGGCGGACATCGAGCCATGTGTTAAGTTAATTCGTATAATGGGTATGTGCTTTTTGGTTCTTACAATAATATTGATAATAATAGAGTGACTTCCTACACGACCTACTCTATAAATCAGTTTTATTAAAATACTCGGTGGAACAGAACGACCGACACTCCCGAGGTTCCTGGAGAGTACTATTTGTCTTTAATATGATGTAAAAAAAATTATAAGTCTAGGTCAAATAGTTTCGGAGATATTAAATTACAAAGTTTTTGAAAAAAAATGAGTGTTTTCAACCCTGAGTCAGCTGTTTTTGGGACGTACTAAGGAAAAGTTTTAAATCGGTCATTGACTTCTTCATTTCTAAAAACGAAATAAACTAGTTTGTGATTTATAAGACTGCTTTCATGCAAATTCTACCAGACAATCAATAAACAAGGCAGTCAAAATGCTTAAATCGATTTACAGACTAACAGCCGGTTTCTGATTTGAAAAAAGTAGAAAATTTCTACTGCTTATTCTCAATAACCTAAGTTTTTTTAATTTCACAAGTCAAATAGTCCTAGTTTTATCAAACTGCTATCAACTGATCATCAAAAAACTAAAATCGGAAACGAAAACTAAGTGATGTTAGTTTGAGACGTTTAACTTTAAATTCTCAATTAAGAAACCGAGTGTAAAATTTCCTAAATTATTGTAGAGAGATCAGTCTAACATTAACCTACGTTATTTTAAAAGAGCAATTCTCCAAAAAAAATGTTTGAATGGGGTAATACTCCTTTAACAACGGGATCGTTAATTAAACTCGATAAACTCACAAATCTTCCAGCGATTCATCATTAACACAAATGAACTTTGTTTTAAAATCATTGAGGAATTTGTTATTAAAATAGCATTTAAAAAGAACATTAAAAAATGCGTGATATCAAAAGACGACAAAAAAATGTGAACCGAGTTCGTCCCTCGATATCAAAGCCCCACCCGCCCGCCAGCCGCCAGGCGGCTTCATTATTCTGTCGATATTTTCCGGCCGATCAGTCGCCGTCGACCTTTTGCGCTGGAGTGTTGTTGCGCATCGCCGCCGACGCACCGCTGCGAAGCGTCTTTTTTGTCGATTTTTGTTTTGTTCTAGTGCATTTTTAATTGAATTTTTGTTAATAAGATACTAGAGTGTTCGTCTTGAGTGTTAAGTTTAGTTTAGTGAAGATTGTGTTTAGTTTTGTGTGAAATGTGATGTGTTTTGCGCGTGCATGCACCGGCATTGAAAAGAGCGTGCTTAGCTCAGTCTTCAGAGAGGAAGTGGACATTTTCAGCATCGACTATCATTAAGATATCGGTAAATAATTAAATTAAATTAATGTATTTCGCGGTTCGTTGTAATCTGCACACAATCGATATTGCGCATGCGCGTTATAGGGCTGTTAACACTTAGAAATTTAAAATTTTTACTCCATTTTTACACCTCCTCTATTTTTAAATATTTGTCAAATAAAATGAACGTTTGTATGTAACCTAACTTGAAACTTTCGGCTGTGTCGGTCATTTTGTTCCTCCCAGTATATTATTTACTTAATCCTTAGAGTAGTCATGCTCTCTTAAAATCTCTGCGGTGATGTCGTGTGTGTTAGGTCGTTAAGTTCCCTCAAATATAGTATAGTTGAAATTAAAAAAGCAGCTCTTGCTGAGTTACTTGCCGATTCTTGTCAGTACAAGATCTCCAGTCTTAGTTTTGCGAACCATTGGCAAAGTTTTCGACTTTCACAAGTAGGTACTATGTAACAGCCTAGACTGAATTGATTTTGATATTTATATTAATATCATTCGTTTTATGGATGTATAATAATGACACATACAAATACAAGCTGAATTCTGCGCTCCGCTTTTTGTTCTTCATTCCAAACCTGAATTCGGCTGACGGTTACGAGCAACCATTAAGTTGGCTCATCACTATTTAGACGTATAAATCAAACATCGTTTTACACGTAACACAATAAACAACTTAAACTTACGATTAAAATAAATAAAAATTTATTTGAAAGTTAGATTTTGATATTATGTTTTTTTTATATAAATTTGCAAAGACATAGAAAGCCGGGTTTGTCACAAATAGATAGAAGAGTGTTAAGATAAACTGGACGGGGAGTTTTTGGTGGGAGTTGATTATATAAGGACGGATACTTCTGACAATTAAAAAAAATGTGATCAATGGTACCTTATTCAATACCACATTCGCTGATAGGACTATTTAAAATTCGAATCTTTGAAAGAAAAACAAGCCTAGTTACGTGTCCAAAACGTAGACGGCATATGGTCGTGACAGTACGTCTGGGGATATCACGAAATTTATAAAACCAAGGCTTACTCGGCACAGAGTTTTGTAGGCTATAATGTCGTCCTATAGTTTTAGAAGTACGGGTCTACCTTGTTCCTCATTATGAAATGTTTTGTGTTTGATAATGAATGTCCATCGGATGTCAGACTGCCAACATATTTTCTCTCGTTAGTTTAAAGCGCCGGGATCTGAGGTCGTAAAGCCACGGCTTTTTTCCCCCTTTTATAAATGTTTGTTCCGCTTTTCGTCCAGGCCATAGTACCACTACCACTTTGATATCTTACTGGATCTGCTACGCTCTATTAACATATCTCCATCCGTAATTGAGTGTTTCACAGTTATCTGTATGGACGCCGGCAACGTTAAAAGTTAAACCAGCCAAAACTAATGCAATCATAGTAGGTAGCTCTAGGTTGATCTCCAAATTGAACTGGCATCTGTTGCCTAAGATTAATTTTGATGGGACTGACATCCCTTTTAGCGCATCAATAAAAAACTTTGGTATAATCATTGATAGTAGTTTGAGCTGGGAACTTCAATTGCAGTGTAACAAGGGAATGCAATCTCGCGAGTTTATGAATATCAATACCGCTAGATCTCGCGAGATTGGCACTTTTGTGTGTTTACCTTTTTACTGTAATATTTATTCAAATCACAATATTTGAATAAATAAGGAAAAAATATAGTAATTACACGTATTATGAAATAAACGTTTATTTATACGGGTATTTTGATGCAATTATATATTTTTATCTAAAACCTTTAAATGAGCAATTACTGTATTATAATCTCGGAAACGGCTCCAACAATTTTCATAACAATACATTAAAGTATATGTATTTATGTAAGTGTAATGTATTTGTCATCGTCTGGTGTCTATTATTATGATTATGCTTTAATTAATCATTTGGAATTACCTACTCTAAGTTTACACCCCCGTTTCGTTACAATTAACACTCCTCTCCTACCAATGGTTTTCTGGTAGAAATCGCTTTCAGCGATAAGAGCGCCATTTGTTAGACTTTGATGTATTGTTTTGTTTGATAAGTTTATGCAGATGTCTGTGGTGTTGACAATAAAATGTTATTATTATTGTTTTGTTATAATACAATATGATACACACCCGACTGCAAGTCATCGTATGATAAGTCAAGCAGTTATGTTCATCGACATTGAAGCATAATTTATTTAATAAAAAGTTAATATAACTACGATTTAGCCTTACATAGCAATTTGGAATCTTATTTTTATTTATTACAACGTTATATACATTATACATTAAAGAAGAAATAAAACTTCAACGGAAAGAGAAATGAACTTTGTCCGTATGATTGATTGCTTCAATGGCCCATTGATCGCAGTATAATATAGTAGAAGGCACAGGATCAAAAATTATGCACTGGTGGAGTTTAAAGCAAGGATTCTTGTATTGGCGATTCTGGTGATTTTTCTCTCCGCACTTCTGGGACATAGTGAAATGCAATCACTAGCGTGCAATAACACATATTGGTTCAAACCTTTGTCCTGAGATCATAAAAAAATATTTCTGTGCTTTAGAACACAGCGTAATTGTGTGCCGTGCCTGTGGTATAAACGGCCTTACAGCTTTGATAATTTGAAATTCATTTTTCTTAGCTAAAATACTAGCTTTTGCCCGCGACTTTTGCCCGCGACCCGTAGTGGATAAGCGCCGCGGCCAGCAGTCGTTGCAGTTAAGCAACTTTCGCAAAGGTCGGTCACGGGATGGGTGACAAATTAGTATCTATTACCCTCCAATCTGCATTGGGCCAGTGTGGAAGGTCATGGCCCATCGTCCTTACCACCATCTATAACGAAGGCCTGAGCCCTTGCAGTAGGGAGTAAAAAGGGCTGATGATAAGATAATATTTCTATTTACAGTGCAACATATATATTCCATTACATATATGTATATGTCGTGGCCATATCGATTTTATGATCTGGCAGGCCATTTGATCATATCATTTAAGCGTCAACGTTAAATGATATGTCAATCCACGTTTGGTCAGATCATAATAAGGGTGTCCAAAAAAGAAATCTGATTATTTGCTGAAATACCTTGTTTATTCGTTAGAATCATGATTTTGTGGTCTGAAAAAAAAAACAACCTCGTAATTTAATGCGATCGCTACGCGACGCTTCGTGATTGTGTAAAATTTTTAACCTATCACGTGACCTAAAGTAGTGAATCATATAGGATCTTAAGTTTAGTTCATAACTCAAAAACTTTAATATTCTCCAATATAGGTATTTTTATCATCCTCCGGAGCTAGGTCACAATCCTGTCTTTATCATAACCTTCGAAATATCCATAAAACTATATAAATAGCCTTTGCTGCCTTTGCTGCACCTTCGCACTGCACCTACATTTATCTCACTGAAGTTAATCAAGTAATTATTTTCTGTTGCTTAGTCACCCTACTTTCTTTAATTTGTTTTATAACCAAAAAATGCGACATCAGTGCCTCTTACTGAGACTTAGGTAACTATTTTACGATATGATCACTTACTCTTGGCCACATCATGAAGAAGTCATACTATCAGCCGCCCATATCGTTAAGCGCAAATCACTAATTGATCTGGTCAGGCTACATTATGATGTAGACAGCAAGATTTTTCCATTACATGAAATACAAACATTCCCTGAAATGTTTGGCCGCATCATGAATTAGTCAATTCTACGATCTGGCCACGACATTTATACTTGGAATCCTATACTTAGGTGCTTACATAATATGAATAATTAAATGTAATAAAATAGGATTTGTAAAAATAATTGCAATTTCTTTAATCTAAACTTGGAGCAACATTTTAATGTGTTTGATTTAGGTACACAGGTAAACTTTCTAGGCAAAAAAATCTGCGGTTTAGAATTCATTTAACGCCATCTAGTTAAGTTCATGAAATATAAAAATAAATTTTTCTTTCGTAAACAAACTTACTTCAATTTGAACATTTTTATCCATTAAAATTTCAAAAATGTAATATTTACTCAAATACCTATTTTCATCGCTATACAATAATATTTTGTAAATAATATTAGACAAATCAGATGGTAAACAATGGTGGCTATGGTAACATTTATGTTCCCCATAAAATCTATTTTTCCCATTTTAAGTGCTAGTTTTCGAGATAAAATATAACCTTCCTAGGGTCATAAACTAACCAAATACCAATTTTAATCGACGTAGGCCCATAAACAAAGAACGTTCATACAAAATTTTTCCCTCATTTTCACCCCCTTATTAAATAAAAGAATATTAAATGTCTCTATATATATATAAAAATATTAAACATGGTGATAGTCTTAGAAAATGAGATTTTGTATTTCCGAAAATCGATAATTATTAAATCAAACATTATTGATTGTTTATTTGCATTGGATTATCTCCGGATATATTGGACCGATTTATAAAAGTCTTTCAATATGGGTGGGGACATAGTACGCGGAGGAACATAGGCTATATTTACGCAAGCCAAGTCGCGAGGAAACAGCTAATTTGATAGAAATTTCTTAATTACTCAAGAAGAAATCCATGAACATTCCTACTTTCATAAAAAAAATATACATACTCGTTGAACATAGAAAATCCTACTATCTGATTTTGAATGAATGCAAATTAAAATACGTTAACAAAAGACTGCGTATCTTTTGTTAACGTATTTTAATTATTTAATGAAAAGCGTAATTTTTGGTTATAAAAGGAAACTACTGATTCGATTTCGATAAAATTAAATGGTACCTAGTCCATTAAACTGTCGTATAAAAAAGAATTTTCGAAAATCGGTCAACAATTGGCGGAAATATCGATGAACATACATAACAAATATACATCGCCGTCGAACATATAACCACCTCCTTTTCGATTTTGAGGAAGTCAATGCTATCATTCGATAAGACAAAATATTTTAAATGTTCTTTCTTGTTATCAACAGAAATATAAACCGCAAAATACGAGCAGAAGAATTGCTGCGTGTTTCTAATTATCCTGGTACAATGGCTACTCGTGACCGTAGTCGGTTATCAACTCCAGCTGCTCACAGTGATTTACCTATAGATCCATCACCGGTAAACCCTTCGATTACATCATCTGATAGACAACGATCTTCTAGTCCTGTAAAGAGAAGTCTTCAAAGGAAGATTTCATTACTACTAGTCCTCAACATTATTGACAAATTTTCAAGTTTAGTACCGCGGATAGAGCGGCGAAGAAAGTGAGAATTTATATACTAGTTTTCATAATATCAATGTTTTGAAATAATGTTTGAAACATAATATAAATCGCAGATTCAAGATGTTACAAGAAAAATATATCAGGAGAGCACTGAAAGTGTTGGTAATAGCGCGACCAATGCTACACCGGGAGCTCGTGCGTATTCTACATTGATCTAATTTGGCTGTTTTACTAGCAGAATCCGTCAGGCGAAAATTTGAAATGGAAGCAGCAAGGCGATTACAAGAGCAACGTCGACGTTTGGAAATGCGGCATCGCGATAAATTATTAAGATCAAAGCCCGCATGGCATTTAGTAAAAGTAAGTGAGTTAAACTTTAAAATAAATTACTTAGATCCACGTTGAATAATGAATATAACGTTTATTTTTTTTCGTTTCAGTCATGAAGAAGATATTTCTATGAGACTACAGACACGACGAGATGAAGAAAAAATGAGACGAGAGGAGTTCCTTCATGAAATGGAATTAATGTATGGGCGAGTTTAAGAGCAACCAATGCTTTTCGAGAGATATTACGCTCCAAGACCGTATTAATTATCTTCTGAAACTCTCCAATTATCACCAAGAAAAGGAAACAAAAATCGTTGCACGAAAACTAAAAACTACCATTACAATAATCCTACGAGATCACGTAAAATCTCTATTAACGATATGGAGACCTTCAATGGTGATGTTTCAGAGTAAATAAAATTGATGATGATTAACTGTGTTCCGATTCGGAAGTAGCAATATATAGTTTAGATGTTGGTAAAGTATAAAGGAAATATAAAGTGAAAGTAATACAAAGAAATATTTTTATTCTCAATCCTCTATGTTGTTTAGAATCCAATGGAGAAGAGGTGTTATTCTAGCATATAGTCCTGGTCTTCCTTCACTACCACAGAACCTGTATCCATAACTAGTAACTCCAACAAGAAACCAGTTTGTAGTTTTATTTATTGTCATTTGTTTGACTAGTGATCCCCCTGAATCACCCACACAGGTATCTTTGCCAGCCACACCACCAGCGCAAATAACAAATGGTGCAGTTTTATCAGTAATTATTGGCTGTTTATTGCGACAATCGCCTATAGGCACAGCGCTTATCGCCAGTTTCTGTTTTATATTTGCTTTGTTTTCTATAACAAAAAGCATATCTACTCGTAACTTTGTAAAATATCAGAAAAGAATTACTTAAAACCGGATTGCTACCATGTACCTTATATTATATGAGTGTTCGATATTTCGACGCTGTTGCCAGCCACGATCACGAAGTAAGTAACTGAAATTTATGCGGGTGGGTGGTATTTGCAGATATATCAGTTTACCTGCTTTCGAGTTCTTTTATGATATCTAGTAAGTGGTCGATACCCGTACCACTGTTCACTATGTCACCACTAACTTGCATCTATTCTCGACACATAACACTCACTGTATCCGATCGCGAAACGACACTTTTTTATTTATTGTTTTAACAAATACGAACCACTGGATTCCAGACACTCGACAGTTAAAATCCGTCCTCGCGATTGAAATTCTTGTGCTTCGTTATTTCATTCGCTTCCTGACCATTCTTGGTATGTAGTTGCACTCAGTCGAAATAATCTGTGGCTTATGGAGTTCGATCCAGTTTTTAGGTCCCGCCTGAATCAGTCAAAATTCCGCGATGACTGATTTTGTTGTTTTATTTGGCCAATGTACAAACTACTACAACTGCAGCGAATCTTATAGACACCCAGTTTCTCTAAAGGAGGGGTGGGAATGTAGGTATGATGAGACTTTTCGAAAACAAGGCAAAAACTCCAAAACATTGAAAATTCATAAAATATAAAGTAGCGGTCCCGTTTTTAGCAATGTTGATTACCACGAAAGTTAAAAAAAATATATTTGTAAAATATGGTTTACCTACTTACGACATAGTTGTATATTACTAACCATTTTCAGTTTTCCCCCAACCAGCAGTCCAATAAATGCTTTTGGAAGAATTATCCTGTCTGATGGTATCATCTGTTATAGGTAAACATATTGGCCGAACGAAATCTGAAAGAAATATTTACCCATTACACTGTGTCATTAGAAATAAGTAGATAATATTTAAAGTCTCTGTATAATAAAATATCTTACCGCTATAATAAATTGGTTTTTGAAGTCGCAGTAACGCTACGTCACCTTTAAAGGTGTCAGATTTCCTATATTCAGGGAAAATCTTAACTTGGCTTACTGAGACATCAACAGCAGGATCACTACAAACTCTACCCTGGCAATCAGTTTCCGTTTCTGTGTTCCAATCCCCTAGTCTTACTTCTTTTCTGTGAATTGATAAAATATATAAATCAGACGAGTACTTGCGATCTGGTAACGATTTATCAAATTGTGGATTTTGAGCTCATTTAGCTAATCCAGCGTAGTGAGTTTGAGTTTTACAAACGCATTCCCTAGTGAGTTATTAATGAATTTGTGTGAGGGCTTGTAGTTCTTCATAATTACCGCTAGAAGCGCTGTGCCGGTTTCTGTACTGAAATTTTAACGCGAATCGGAGGTGAACATAAACGACAAGTACTGCAGAAAATTACACTATTCCATAATATTTGTTGTTGCATTCAGTAAGATTGTTACATGGTAACAATATCTGTTGCGTAAACTAGACTAAATTCATTCAAACTACTTTCTTATTTGTGAATAGAACTAAAATTACAGTATACAGGAGTTTAAATATATCTTTGATCACACATGACTATGGAATAAATAATGTTATAAAAAAAATCTAAACTACAGTTTGAAAACACTTGGATTATCTAGTCTAGAGACTGTCATAACAGAATAGGCACTATTGGCAATGTGCTAGTGTTTCGGATTTTATTTTTATGAAATTAATTGAAATTAATTTGTATCCGAGTAATGGCGAGTAAACTAAATATATACGAGTACTTATGTTTACTTAACCTCTTCGCATTTATATTGACCAGCCGGGCCCTTACCACAAAGTGCATAAATAATCAAACTTGCCTAGATATTATACTTACATAGTTAAGTTGACGACACAATGGGCTGCTGTTAAGACATAATTTTGAGTAATTAATGAACCCGCGCATGCATAAACTTCCTTACCACTGTCTGTAACAAAATTATAAATAGTACAGTTAATATATCGCTTTTAAAACCTGTAATTGTGTAAGATGTTAAAGTTCCTTGAATGTATGGTAAGTACATACCCAATACATATTTTATTCTCGCGAGCCACGGAAATTCATCAATATCAGTACTTTCGCCGCCAAAAATTCTTTCTTCGTCAGATAATAGTCCGCAAACACTTCTATTTGGTAGTAAGGTAACTGAATTATATGCATTTAATTCCATAATATTCTTATCATTTGAGTTTAGCGATGTCTCTTGTTTAATACTCTGTGTTTTCTGAATGTTTTGTAATGGTCCATTCACATTTTTTGCATTCAACATTGTGTCACTTTTTGTCTTTTGTGCTAATTTAGGAAACGTTTTTAGTGTGATATCAATTCAACTATAAGTGCAAGTATGTAAATAAAGATTACTTACCACAGATATTCATTGTCAAAACAATGAGAACGGTACACCTCAAATATTCGACACATATCATAATTTATTTTGCTTTAACTTTGATGTTTTAATTTTGTGCAAACGAGCGGTGTTAGGTGTTCACAAACCGTAACTGAGTAACTTGGTTGTTGTTTGTTTTCTTGTATAGGCGATTATCCGGAACTCTTGATTACTATAAGATTGGGGTTTTGAAAATAGTAAAATACTTGTATCACGATTGTCGACCACCTATAATGTTTTGTTTTTTTGGAAACGTAAACTAGTTATGTGTGTTAGAATACCTACACAATTTATTGATTAAAAATAAAATATGATTATGATCATGCCATACTATATAATTCGGAGAAAGAAAAATCTGTACGTTACTGGCGATGGAATATCGCAGTGTATATTCAACTGATATTGAAAACCCATTTCCCACAGTAAGGTAGAAAATAAAGCGGAATTGACTAACTAAAAATGAAGCCGTAACTTATTACTTTAAAAATAAAATGATAAATTAATATATCTCTATTCTAAAATAAAATGTTTTCTAATATTATTTGAAATGCATTTGAGAACATATGACGCCAAGAAGCAGACGTAATGAAATAAATTTGTAGGTCAAATTCTGAAATTTGTCTAGAAAAATATATCTAGAATTGATTCAATGAAAAAGTAACTAGTAGCAACATGGAACATGGCTAGTATGTATAAAAATATTGTATACCATTTAGTAGGAATTTTATTACCAAATATCTGGGCCCAGCAACAGCGGAAACGTCGATGAAAATATTTATTAATAACTTGTATATTTTACTACAAATACATTCAGTATTAAGTGTGTTCAAAGTAATAGTCAAACAAAGTAATGATTTTAGTTAATAAATGGTTCGATGTAAAGATTTGCCACTCATCTACTGATACTTGTGACGAAATTGGAACAAACATATTTCGTACAAATTTATACTAATGTCCTATATACTGTTATAAAAACAAAAATACCTAAGGATTTTTCTCGAGTGTCTCTTTAAAAATTTCTGTGAATTTACCCTTGAAGCTTTCAAATTTGTCTTAAGAATCAACTTTGAATAAGCTGTGTTTTCCACCATAAACTAACCATTTTTGCAGGTACATTTTTGCGAAGACTTTTATTTGGATAATATACTATTCAAAAAAATCTTAGCCAAAATGCATGTTGTAATGTAGGGTCTATGGACTGAAAAATTAACCCTTACCTCAAATAATAAAGATGAATGAAGGCGCTCGAATGAACATGGATTTTGCAGTGAAAACACTTAAAAACAAGTGCAAGTGTTCCTTTTAACTTTCTTCAAGGCAGAGTTTCCAAAGATTCGCTCTTAGTACCTACGCAATAAAACGAATGTATCCTCCAAATTTCAAATCTCTATAACCAGCGTTTTAAGCTGCGTGTTGTCTATCAGTAAATTAGGATATCTCTTTTTTTATATAGTAGTGATACGAACTTTAATGGATGGGAATCTTTTCATACAATTTCTTTATAGACTATTTCTTTATCGATACTACGCTGCGCTTCGTGATTGTTGATAAATAAATAAATACATATAGCTTTTTGTTGTAGTGTCTTCGAAGATGAACATCAGAATAATTTTATTCAAATATCGCGGACATTTCGCTATTCATAAAATTAGGTAATAAGCGTGTTTCATATAGTGATATCTGATAGTTAACCAGGTCCCTGGGTACAGCCGCACTGTAGAAGAAAGTTGTGATGGTAACTCAGCTAATCGACGTTTAGCCGTGCAAATGGATGCTAGGGCCAGCATTCATTTGCACGGTAGGCCATTCTATTATAGGGCTAGCCGTCTAATTGGACGGATCTTTTACCCAGTTGGCTACGACATATCCATTATTTATTAACAGTTTAAAATTTTAATGTCTCTTGTTGATTTATATTGTTCTTAGTCTATTTATTTTGGTAACTGCTTGGTAATCCATTATAATAATATAATGTATGATGATGTAATTAGCGACAAGGAGAATTGTTTAATTAATCCATATTAATATTATACATGCCATACAGCCATTTGCACAAACGTCCATTCAATTTGACATTAGTTTAAAGCGATATTAGCCATACAAATTAACCATTCATTAGATAGATCGAACTCGATCAGATTAGGTTCGAAATCTTTGCAACAAAACCAATACAGTTAATTTAAACTCCACATTTCTGGTTCACAACAGAAACTCATCATTCGGTTAGGTAAGGTAAGAACTGTGACTAAAAAAAAAGCGAGTAGAGCGAGCGAAGAGAGCATGCCGCGGCAGCGGCCGGCGAGCACCATTTATGAGTAATTCAATAACCTATCTTCTATTGAATATTCTTTAGGAGAAAAAGAAATTAAACTCTTAAACAAATTGGGTTAATTTTTTTTATTATAAATTATTTCAAATGTTTATTATTTTAAATAATATTATGAGATTTGATTTTTATATGAAGTGACTACTATAAGAATCGAATATTATAGGATATCGTTAATATGTAAATTGATTTTTATACTACTTAAATGTTTTTATTTAATTTGGGTTTAGATTAAGTAGTAATTAATATAAAATATTTTTTATAATAAAGAAAAATATATTAATCCAAAGGATTTTTTTTCAAAATCATATATTTCAAAAGTATATTTTATTATATCCGCTAATTACGAGTATATGAATATTCGATATATGAAACAAAATTGTTTGTTGTTCGAAGGTACAGGTTGTAAATTTGATATATTTTATTATTATGCCATACACCCAGATGTAAGTTATCGTTTGTTAGTCAAGCCAATGATATAAAGGTAGATAGCTTACTTGAATTCACAAAGTGTCACTTGCTAATTAGCATAACCTGAGCGCAGTCTGGAGAATGCGTTGATGTGTGCATTTTGTACCATAATCATTATAAATGGGTGTAAAAGGCACAGGATCAAAATTTGACATAATTTTCAATACTTAAAACTACCTTTTAATATAAATTATTCTGTTTTAGTAAATCTCGCATATACTATCGTCATTATGTACCGGTGGAGTTCAAGGCAAGGATTCTTGCGTTGGCGATTCTGTTGTTTATTTTCTTGCACTTCTGGGACTTAGTGAAGTGTAATACGTCCAAATTGGAATCGTGTCATACGGATCAATAAGTGCGACTTAAAAGGACAATGGTGTATACAAGAATCACCTACCATATTACCATAGATTGGATATAAGACAATATGCATAAATAAATTAATTTTGATGTTTTAAGTTTATAAATTAGATAGGGAAGATGCACCGGTAGCAAACCGATATAGCAACATTTTGATACTAATTTACAATAGTGAGAATGTGTGGTTTTTTTAATATTATCATAGAATAGAATAATATGTGTAATTCCCAAAATATTGTGTTTCATTCATCGATACAGCTCGGCAGTAAAACTACCTCGTAATAATGGCTAATTTTGGCCCCTTGTATAACAATCTACTATTTATTTACATCATTGCAGAATATGCAGCACAGTCTTATGCTTCACAGTATCGCTCGCGAGATAGTATTAAGTTATTACTTGTTTCAACAACGTAATAAGAAGACAACGGTAAAACAAAATTGATATTCGAAATTTATAACCAAATGTACAAAACAGTTTACTGAATTAACTGTTTTTGTCAAACATATTTTGACAATATGTTCCATTAGTTTTTATCAATTTGATTCCTTCTTCTGTTTAAAAAGTAAAAGATTAACGGTCAGTTGGACAAACGTCTATTAAGGTTTAATGACGCATTTAAGCTCTAATGAATGTCATATTTTTTATTGGTAATGTCGCTTTAAACAGTTGTTACCTTTAATGGATGGTTGTGCAACTGTTTTGTATATTGATTGTGCCATCAGAATAATTAATTATTTTAACTGGACATAGTTTTAATTAGATAGGGATAGTTTGTAATGGTGCGGTGTACCAACGACCGTTTATTTCGTTCTAGGTATACGCATGCAAACTTTTTGTCTTTGATCTTCAACATCATTTCTTTATATTGTTTATCTTTCGTCATTTGAAATTTTGAGTAATCTAATATGTTCTTTATGAAAATGCATAATCTTAACACAAGAAATAAAAATAAACTTGCCGTTCCAAGCTTCAGACTTCAAAAAACCAGAGGATCATTTCTGGGTAAATGTATTGCTATGTTCAATAAAGTTCCACAAAATGTAATTGACCTACCCATAAATAAATTTCAAATTAATAGCCTTCGCTTTGTTCTATAAAGACTAATTATATGTTCAACCTATGTCCTACAGACTTTGAAAGTTGTATTTATTATTGTGATAATACATATTATTTTGGTGATGACATGATTTATGTAAATGTCATTACTTATGATAAAGAGCTGGTAAGTTTCTTTCGCTTGTTCTTCTTGTCAGCTAAAAGACGTCCTGAACAAGTGGTAGGGGAAAAAAATTTGTAATAGCCTACTTGAATAAAGATATTTTCATTTCATTTCATTTCATTTCAATGTCTGTTCGATCGAGTATCATCACCATCTTTCATTCATTTCATTTTCATTTTACATGTAAAAATTAATTTATTTACTTGACATTGGCAGAATTGTGCAAAATGCGTAGATAAGCCATTAATTAAAAAATAAGAGGAAGAAGAAGAACATAGTAAATTAATCATATAAAAGTAAATATAAATGTAATAATAATAAAGTTATTATAATTTAAATAAGAAACATGTAAACGTATATCTTCGTGTAAGATCTAATAAGTTCTACCTATAACGGAAAACCCAGAAACGGGTTTTTCTTATTACCCTCTAATAAATCAAGTTTTCAAGCTTAGTCAGCCTTTTATTGATTTACCTAAGCATCGAACCCGTCACAAGTTTATGTATATCTGTGACTAGGGCAAATTCATATTTACACATTGCGATTTGATTCGAGATGCAATAAATATAAATATTGCCTTTCGCGCGAAACATCCTGCCCTACGCTAAAAAAAAATTGTGTATTAGTGATCCCGCCCACTACCCTACAGCGGCTACAACCCCGAGAGTCACTCGCTGATCGTCGCTACTATCCGAAACTGACGTTGGATCAACCCTCGCCAGGTGAGCAGACCGAGTCTCACCTAAAGCGAACAATATTCAGAATCGAATGAACGAATAAAAACAATCAGTATCAAACATTTGCTGTTTAGAAGGGTAGAACCTTTGCTTCTGTTTATTTAAAAAAAACATAGGTGAGAGAAGATAATAAATTAAAAGCAGCGTACTATCTTTACATCAAATAGCGAGACTGGCCGTGTTGACCAGTGTCTTGCGAGAAGCTAGTATGGTAATGAACCGTGGTCTCATGGACACTACACCATTTAGAGTTGGACACGTGAACACTGCACTCTATTTTGAGTGTGTAAAAAACTGACGAGTGATTGAATTAAAATTGGAACGAGAATGGATCGATTTTCTTTGTGTGCATTGTTGGCGTTGCTGATACCAGTGAAATGTTGTGAGTTATTTTAGAGATATATATATATAAAAAAAAATATTTAAAAAAATTTATTCATAACTATACACAATCAGATAGTTTATAATATTATCAACTAATAATGATGAGAAAGTATTAAAAAAAGCAGTTCCCGAAACGAAACAAGATGTTGCTACATTCTTTGATACCATTGCGTCAAACTCACAGAATTATTTTTTCATAGCTATCAATCAAATTATTCGTTCTGATTTAGCTTTTCGTGTCTCTTTTAATATCTAATAATAATTTATTATTTTGACCGCAAATCGATAGAGTTTTGCTATAAACCTTACATACTTTGCTCAGATCCCAAATTAACTAGCTAAAGCATTTTTATTACGGAAATCTGAAATAACGAACGTAACAAAATATCCAGACCCGAGACAATATAGAAAAGTAATTTTTACATTGACATGACCGGCAATCGAACTCGGGACCTCAGTGATGGTGACATTTTCAAAGCGAAGTGCGAGCCATTTTGATGTCCTCGTTTCTGGTCAAAAATTGCCATTTGGCGACATTTAAATAAATGACGTGCTTAATTATTTTTTTTAAATTTAATAGGTAATAGCATTTCATTTGAGGCAGGTTCCCAACATATACCATTCTTTCTACAAGCAGAATTATCAAACATGCGAGTCACTTTGTGCTTATGTAACACTTCTACAATAATCTTAAATAGTTTGCGAGTAATTAAACAAAAATGTTTTTGACGCGCAAATCACCACTCTATCCCTTTGTTGCATGCGGCAAATAGAGGGGATCAGTCTTTTGTACTAAATCTATAGATAATTTTTAATGAATTAATTTATATTAAATGGTCATGGTCATATGCTCAAATCATTAAGGTCAGCCATTAGGCAAATACTTATGAAATTATATACGCCACATAAAAACGGGTTTTAATACATCTTAATTTACAATCGTCAAATTTCCTTAAAGGCACATTTCCTTATATAGGTGATAATATTTTGAATTCTTCTTGTTGAGAGACACTGATCCGTAATAAGATCCTATCAATGTGATAAGATCCTAAAAAAAACATAAATGTTAAATGAGAGCTTAGTTCAATATATGAATGAATTAATGAAATGTGCTTTATTGTGCACCAATACAGGACAAAACAATCGAATCAAATCAAATTAAATGCACAATTGGCGGCTTTATTACTAAAAAGTAATTTCTCCCAGGCAATATTGATGTCTGCCTTATATGATACATGTCTTTGTTGTTAACATAAATGACAATAAATGGAGATGTAAATGGGTGTCAGGTTCAATTAATTTTATATTTATAGGTAGGTATAAGATTCATTCATATGAAAACTAATCTTAATTGTAAGAAGAAAGGACATTTTAACAACAACAAGGACAAGTTTAATAAAAACATTAAGATTAGTTTTCATATGAATTATTCTTATACCTGCCTATAAATATAATTATGATTTATAATGTTAAGTTACAATAAAGGATTATTTCTAAATTATTTTTAATGAAATCTAAACCATAATTTGTTTAGGTATTGATAAAACAATAGATAAACTGGACGGAAATATATTTTTAATAATTCTCAATTATATTATAAACCTACATTTCAATGTTTATGAGTTCAAACGTAAATTATTTTATATTATCAGTGATACACACAAACCCGAACCTCAGAATAATACTTCGATCAAAAAACATATTTCATTTATTATTATTACAGGAATTTAAAGATACAGGAACAATTGTATATGTTTACTATTATTTAATAAATCGTCAAAGATGCTTTAAATTCTTGTTTTACAGTAAAATTGCAACTATAATCGAGGTAAACAAACTTTGACATAACCAAAACAAAACACATTTTTAATAAATTTTTAGTTATTTGATTCGAATATTAATAATGATTTTACAACCCTCTGTCCACTGATATCACAGCAATGAACACTGCGACATATTGCTAATCGGAGACCTTTTTAGTACCTAATTTTGAAATTACCAATTATCATACTATTAATGTTATGTATTTGTAATTTGGTGCTAAATAAATACTTTTCTATTCTATTCTAATATTATGGAATTTTCGATTTTAATGTTTTCTCTAAAGATGTTTCATTTCAAAGCGTTAAGCTACCAAAGTTGCGGACGTTAGGTGTCGCTGAAGTCGTGCACATAGCCTAAGAGAATTTAAAAACTACGTTACACATTGCTATTAAGTAAAAAAACAAAAGCATTGTTATTCTCTCTAATATATAAGGCGTAATGTTGTTATATGCCAGGACTTCGTGGGGTAGATGAGTCAAATAGGTATACTGAAAAACTTTTACTATGCGAGCAACACTGAATTCACGAAAAAATAATCAGTTATTTCATACAAAATTGTAATACCTACATTTGTCAACAGTATGAAACGGCTGATTATTATTTCGTGAATTCAGTGTTGTGCCTATAGTAAACATTGTTCAGAAAATGTAACTCATCTACCTCACGAAGTCCTGGCACGTAATAAATATTACACCTTATATGAAAGATTACAGGAAAACAAAATATCTACTTGTTATCTTTATTTAATAATATTATTAAGTGGAAATATTTGATTGTTTGTTTGTTTGCGTGGTTAGTTTCCGAAAACTACTGGACCGTTTTCAAAATTCTTTTATCATTGGGAAGCTACATAATACGCGGGTATCAAAGGTTATAATTTACGCGGGCAAAGTCGCTGGAATACAGCTAGTCTTATTTAAAAATTAAAGGAGTTTTGATCATGACACGTGATAGGTATGATGTATGATAGATGTTTGAATAAAGAAATTAGATCATCGTATGTCTTAAAACATTCCTTCTCTGCTTATAGTTTCGGACTTTTCCATACTGATATTTCTCAGATTAAAAATAAACCCAATACCTGTATTTAATGATATTTTTATTACATTCCAGTAAATGTTGGCGACAGTTGTATCGCAGATGATCGGCCAGGCACGTGCTCCCGCCTCTCTAACTGTAAGCTGCTAATGGACGAGATCAGGAGAGGTGGAAATCCAATGCCGTTTCACCTTAAGATGAAGTTAATCGATCGCTCTTGTGGATTTGAATCAAAGGACCCTGTGGTAGGTAGACTAGTAACACTTATCTATTTGACATTTTCAAATTCTATTTTTGAACAATCTTCAATAAAAAGGGCCGGGTTTCCAGCCGGACCTCTTGCGATTCTAGTTTTGAGACGCCTTACTGCCGACTTAAATCTGCTTAATCTACACCCTCTATGGACATGAGAGAACATTTAATTGAATCAAAATATTCAGTCAATGCATTAACGGTTTCTTGACACCTTCCGATCGCAAGAACCCTCAGCATTTATTTATTTATTGCATTCCTTTCATTTGCCTTCTTTTATTCTTTAGGCACATTTTCCTAAATTTAATGAGACATTAATATTTTTCGGGTTAGTTTGATATATCGTCTATAAGTCTGTCTAATGCTATTTTAACCAACCATCTGAAATGCAGAAAAAGTTTCCTTTCTAAACCGATTACCCTCTAACTTGAACCTCTTTAAATGGAAGATACACACCTGGAATCATAGCACAACTTAAAACTCTTACATCTATCCAGGTGTGCTGCACTCCGTTATCCGGCAATTCGACCTCAGTTACTTCAGATCCAGTGGTTACTGTCACCACCAGTTCTACTAAGGGCGTCACATTGAACCCTCCTGACGATGCCAACATCAAAATTCGTTTTGGTTTGCCTAACGTAGAGAACCATCCGAATTTACGTCTTTTACCCACGAAAAAATGTGGCATTTTTGAAGATGATCGAATAGTCGGAGGCAACGTGACGGAATTGTTTGAAATGCCATGGATGGTTCTTCTGGTTTATGACTCTCGTAAGTATATTTTTCAAATTTTGTTTGCAAGAATAATCATATAATTCAAAATCGTTAAAAGTTCAATTTAATTTCTTCTTTATTGCTCTTTATGATTTAGCAGTGTTTAGTTGCTCAGTAGACGCCAAAGTTTTGCTGGCGTAGTTTTGTTCGGTCCTTAATTTCGACATCTCAAGGCGGCCTTCTCTGCTTATGCAAGAACAAGGACTAATAACGAAATGAAATAGAATAGAATAGAATAGAATAGATATTTATTTGCCTTTAAATAGGGTACAATTTGATAGGAATTAATTAAAATAAAATGAGAACTTAAAACCTATTTAGCCATACAAAGATAGCATGCAAATATTAAATTTAATTAATTTTTCATTTCCGGTAAAAACAATCAAATTATTATCAAAATTATACAAAATTAACAAAATTATACAATTTTTATACAAAATTAACAAATTCACTAAAATTACCATAATCATTATCATTTTGAAGATAAAATGTCACAATAATAAATGTCAACATAAAGAATTCCGTAATTAATAGCGTCAAAACAATAAAAAAGATACAAATCATATAGCAATTAAACTTTGTGTCAACTTATATAGCTTTGGCTATTAATTTATTTAGTAGCATGGTTTAAAAAATCATCAATAGAATAAAATGCCATTTCCAATAACCATTTACGTAAAGTAGATTTGAATCGGTTAGACGGTAAAAGTTTGAAATTATTGGGTATTTTGTTATATATTTTTTGGCACATGGCGTAACAGCTATTCTGAAATCTTTGAGTTTTAGGGACGAATTTCAAAACTAGTCTTTCAGGATTTCTTCTTAATCTTTGGCTCAAATCCTGTGCTTGTGTAAACTTTTTACTATTTAATTTTACAAATATGCAAACCTCTAAAATATAAAGACAGGGCAGTGTCAAAATTTGGAGAGTTTTAAAGTAAGGCTTGCAAGAAATATCCGGCTTTAGATTGCATATAGCACGAATGCATCTTTTTTGAGCAATAAAAAGAATTTTAGTATCAGTGCCCTTTCCCCAAATTAATAAACCATATCTTAAGATGGATTCTACATATGCAAAATAGGCCATGATAGCCGTATTTACACTTGCTACTTTTGTAAGTTTATATAACGCGAAGGAAAAGGAGTTCACTTTATTGCACACTTTTTCTATATGCTCTTTCCAACTGAATTTAGGATCAACTATTAAGCCTAGAAATTTTACATTTGGAGCACTCTGTAGAGTTTGTCCATTAAAAGATACGTCTACTGATTGATTTTTAAAATTATTGAAATTAATTATATTAGTTTTTGCTAAATTTACCTTAAGATTGTTATTCTGAAGCCAATTAATAATTGATGTCATTGTATTTGTGATGTCAAGTTTGTGTTGTTCTAAGGTACTTTTCGTTGAAACAATAATGGAAATATCATCAGCAAATAGTACCGTCTTAAATTTTGTTATGTCAGGTAAATCATTTATGTAGAGCAAAAACAACAAAGGGCCTAGAACACTGCCTTGAGGAACGCCACATTTATTAAGTTTTGGTTTAGATCTGTAAAGCTGAATTGTATTTTTTTTGTCAATCTGTGGTATCTCTACGAATTGCATTCTGTTAGATAAGTAGGAATCCAACCAGTTTAATGCAGGACCCCTTAATCCATAACATTCCAGTTTTTTTAATAGTATTTTATGAAAAACACAGTCAAAAGCATTAGACATATCGAGGAATATTACTGTTGTATAGTATTTCATATTTACATTTAACATAACTTCATTTACTAGGTCAAAAGCTGCATGAGTTGTTGATTTATTTTTTTGGAAACCGTATTGGTTGTCCTTGATGATTTTAAATTTTGTGAGGAAATTAGTAAGTTGTTCATGCATGACCTTTTCAAATATTTTAGATATGACAGGTAATATTGCTATTGGACGATAATTGCATATATCATATTCGTCACCCTTTTTAAACAACGGTTTCACAATTGTCATTTTCAGTTTATCGGGAAATTTTCCTGTTTGTAGAGACAGGTTTATCAGAAAAGCTAAAACACTGCATAGTGCATTTCTACACAGCTTTAAGACTTTGATGCATACGGAATCATAGCCTTCTGACTGTGAATTTTTCAATGTCAGAATAATTTTGCTTATTTCATTTGCAGTTACTGGTGATAGAAATATACTATTTTGCAAAACTGTATTTAAAGAGTAAAAATTTTTTTGGTCAATATTTACTGTACTATTATGTATAAAATTATTATTAAATATTGATGCAATTGTCGTTGGATTCGTTATTGCAGTATTGTTATGGATGATTTTATTTATATATCTATTATGGTTCAATGTTTCAGAAGTTTCATTCCTTATAACCTTCCACGTCGCTTTACAGATATTGTTACTGTTAGTAATAAATTTTTTATTTGATATCTTTTTGGAATAACTAATACATTTTTTTAACAATTTACTATATTTATTATAACTCCATCTATTATTACTATTTTTATTTGTGTAATATTTATAACGTAGTTTCCTTTTTGTGATGCTACTTATTTTTAGGCCTTTAGAGATCCATTTAAGCTTGAAGGAAGAATTATGTTTATGTTTTGCTACTGGAAAACACAAATTGTACAAAAGAGTGAAAATGTCGTGGAATTCATTGAATGCAATATTTATATCTTTTTTATTAAAAACATTTGAAAACGAAATGCTACTTAAAAATGTCTTGAATTTATTGATATTTTCTACTGAGTAGCATTTACGATAAGTGTACACAAAGTGTGGGGTTTGAGTTTTACGATGTACACAAAACTTTAAAATCTGAGCAGTATCGTGATCCGATAACCATAATGGCAATACGTAACCAATTCCGTTGACAATGTTACTTATTATTTGGTCAAGGCATGTACTCCCTCTGGTGGCGACCTTTATATGCGAGTTTAGATTATACTTTTGAAGAATGTTACGAAATGTGGAAGTATATTGATTATTTTCCAACATATTAATGTTAAAGTCGCCAGTTACTATTATCCTTTTTTTGGGAAATTTATGCAGACATTTGTGTAGCAGCAAGTCAATTTTTTCGTAGAAATATTCAATATGACGTTTTATTTTAGATGGTATTCTATATATACATATTACTATAATGTTGTTTGAGATCAAATTCACTGCACAACATTCAAAATGATAAATCATCGTAAGATCCTCAAAAAACGTGAACAAACAAACAATAAAGAAAGAAATAGAAAAATGTTTTTACTTAGCAAATCCTTCAAAGCAAAGCTTATACTTAGCTACCGTATACCTGTCGTATTTGTTGTGAATAAAGATGAAATTCTAAATGAAAAATGCTTAAAAATTTTATTAAGAATATTATTCAGTATATGTAGCATTGTGAATGCAAAATTGGTCAAATATATTAAAGATGAAATCACAATATATGTACAATGATTTATCATAGTAACGACACGAAATGTTAAAGTAAAACAAGTCTAAGATCTTATATCGTTGTAAGCGTAGAGGGTGATAATACCTTATGGAAGTTCTATAGGTAATAAAATGATTGAATTTAGAACGTTGAAATTCGTATGAAGGATCTTAACAATCGAGTATTAGATATTAAGTACGATATAATGAAATCTAATGAAGTCCAGTGAAATCCTATAAAGTATAATGACGTCCAATAAAGTACTTGCAGCATTAGGAGTATAAGAAATGACGATTTTGAACATCCCACATCAACATCTTGGCATATGTAAAGTTTGTTTAAAGATGGCTTTGAGTGTGTGTTGTTGTTCTCGCAAGTTTTTGAACCATTGTAAAGAGCAAAGGGAGTAGTTACGAAAATGTACTGATGAAGAAACTTGGGTTCGACGCAGTAGCGTAAAAAAGCCAAACCTCTTCTAAAAATTTCAAGTGTAAACTCATTTGGCCGGAGAGATTATGGCGTCGATCTTTTGGGATACTGAGAGCATTAATTTGATTGGTTATGAGAAACGTGCCATTTCCATAATGGGAGAATGAAACGCTTTCTTAATTCGTGATATTATTTAATTGCTTCTCAAAGAAGCAAATAATTTGTTTATATCTCTTATAATTGTTGAACAAAGGGATAAAAAAAACTAAACTTAAATATACAATTTGCAGCAGAAGGAAGAAAATTGAGCTGCGGTGGTACTTTAATAAATGAATGGTACGTGCTGACTGCGGCACATTGTGTCTCATTCTTAGACGAACGCCTGAGTCTTCAGGGAGTACTGCTAGGCGAGCATGACGTAAGAGAAGACCCTGATTGCGATCGCGTTGAACAGTTTTGTGCACCAAACGTCAGAGTAAGTTTGATTAGGTGTGAAATCCTTCGCATTTTGTACGTATAGTATACGTAAGATATTGATTTGTACGTAAATTTATCAACATGCACGTGACGACATAAATATTAACTGCTACTATAGTCGCGGTTATCATGTACTCGTAATACAGACTTACCTCCGCTCAACCTCAATAGCAGTTTTATTTAAGATAAATATTATTTCTCACTTTATTTTATCTGATCAATTTTTTTACCAAAATAATGGGCCTCAAACTTGGCGTCTATGGCAGAATAGAGGTTCAATTATGTAAAACCTTTATTACCTTTTAATGTCGTTTTATTTGATTGAATCTCTACGGTGTGACAGTATTATTATTATTGACGTCGAACATTTTTATTATTCTGTTCATAAAAAAATCTTCTTTAATTTGGTGTAAGTATTGCACTTGTTTAGCTTTAGTTTTATTAGCTTATCTATTTTCATTTTTATCTTATTACAATCGGGGCCTACTCCATTGTGACTTCCGATACCATTACTGTTTCTTTTGTAGCTATTTTTCATCACATTCAATTATCAAATTAAGTAGCGTCTTGTTTAAGCGCTTAATAAGGCGTTAATTACCACAATGGCGGACGGATCTTTGACAGTTGATCACCTAGCAACCGTACTTATGTTATTTTTAGTCGATGGTCATGCCGTCTGGATTTATTTCAATTTGTATTATGTATTGGATTATTAAAAAAATTACGTTTTTGAAATTAATAATAATGAACGCGTACCAATATCCATAAGAAAAGCGTTTAATGATGCTTAGTTTCGCTTCGGTTAGCCATGAGAAGTTTTATATAGGAACAAGTTGTTTTCCCGCGACTTCGCCTGCGTAAATTAAAGCCCCATATCATATGTTCATACATGTGTGGTCTCCCGTACATGGTAGAAAGAATATCTAAAATCGGTCCAGTAATAGGTATTGGTACCTATTCAATGTAAAGAAACAGACTTTTTTCTTTTATAATATTGAAATGGAAATTATTAGTCTAGATAGCACTCCAGTTTCTTCGGTACCTAAAGTTGATTCTATGATTATTTAGATTCTCTCTCAGGGACAGGGATGAAGACATAGGGGACATTATACAGTACTCCAATAATTTAACAAGCGTTACCAAAAGTATATTTATTGAAAGCAACTTAGTATAAACAACAGTATAAGAATTAGTAAACTGATATAAACTATCACTCTCGAAGAAATTGATTTTAACTGCAAATTCATTAGGCCTGTTGTATAATTCAAGATCTTCAACGTAGTCCACCTCCTTTCATGATTCTGGCACGTAACTGAATAAACCCAATTTTATCATAAAATATCCTTTTTTTTTCCATACCAGTTGGTAGCTTGCACCCTTTTTTATTTTCCATTATGACTCCAATAATAGGGGTGATGACTGGATAAAAAATAAATTCTATTTAATCAGTTAGCATTTTATTTTTGCTTGTATTTAACTTGAAATGATATAGATAAGAGGCATTAAAGTTTACGAGTGGGGGGCTTGTTACGTCACAACTGTGTAGAAAATATACAAAGGTGTGACGTCATGCGACATTTCAACTCAACATAACGCTGTTACTTATTGATTACACAAAAAATATGTGTTTAATATTCTCCAAAAATTTACCTGACGGACAAACAAACAAGATTAGTCATGATTCATAGTACCTACCGAAAAAGATTTTTTATAATTACATATATCATGATGCCGCCGTTTGGCTTTTGGTGGAATTTTCATCCAGTGTTTGCAGAATAAAATAATATAGTGTTATTTACCGTTGATTAGTAAACAAACTCTTTAGTAGCTTTTATAAGCAAGAAATATGTAATGTCTACTTAAGAAGTTGAGTAGTGGTTAGTTAATCAGACGCTAAGATGTTGATTTTAATAATTAAGACAGCTGGTCAATATTAAGTCCTGGTCGGAAAATTTGGTGTCGTTGTCAATCCCACTGAATGCCAGGCTATATTGTTGGGTGGCTGTCGAATGATGGCTAGAATCGATAATTGCGGTCTCCGTGCTTTGATCTTCGATAATATTTCGATTCCATTTAGCCAAAACGTGAAGGATCTTGGGCTATTTATCAACTGTAACTTAAACTGGCAGGCCCAAGTAGTTAACGTTTCGAAAAAAGTTCTGTAAATTGGAGTGTTACGGAGTGCTGGAGAGCTTTTTATTGCATGAAATTTTTTTTATTTACTAACATCAAGGCAATGCTTACGCAGACCTTAATATTTTCCATAATTGACTATGGTGATGAATGTTATCTCGACTTGAATGCAGAACCACTCAATAAGCTTGACCGTCTTTTGAAGAACTGCATTCGATTCGTTTACAATACAATTACGTTTACAATACGAAAGTATGATCATGTGTCTGAATACCGATCATTACTCAAATGGATGCCTATTCGGCAGCGCAGACATATGGGAACACTAACCACCCTTTTCTCATTTCTAGACTCACCTAATGCTCCTTCCTATCTTACTCCCCACTTTCAATACTTGTCCACAAGTCACTCTAAAAATCTACGTTCTGCTTCTAATAGTTTGCTCATATGTCCTTCTCATCACTCTGATGTAGTTCATGATTCCTTCTATATTAAGTCTATTCTCCAATAGAACTTTCTTCCTTTAGACCTAAGAATGTCTACCAATCGGTATGCGTTTAAAATGAACCCACGCAGCTACCTTTTAATGGTTAATCGTGTATGTATCTATTTAATATATTGTATTTATGTTTATGTATGTATTTATGTTTCTATGTACATTCAATTGTATGTATTTTAAAGTATATACATTAATTAGTTTATCTAGCTTAGTCTATTCTTGTGGTTATTTTACTTGTGATTCTACACCTTATCACGTATTCTCCTCCACATTACCTTACGGTTGAGTAGCAGAAAATACCTCAGGCATTAATTCCGCCTATGTACGATTGTGCATGAAGAATAAATGAATAACTAATATATTTTAATCACGCGCACATTCCTTAGTCAAGGAGCTTATATTTCAAGTTGTCGTCTTATCTGAGGTCCCAGGTTAGATGCCCAGCTGGCTGAATTAACATAGTTATTGATTTTTCCTATATTGTCTATATTTAAAGAGTAGTTACTACATGTACGAATTAACATAACACCTGGAAGGCCTATTGTATTAATACGAAAACGCAATTTCGTCTATTTTAAAAATGGTAATAAGATTCCAAAGCAACCCATTTTTTGATAATTTATGATGCAACAAATATAGGTCATGATACTGCCTCTGATGGACAGATAACTTTCACAGATATGATTTTAACAAAATTATAGGAATGATACAACTTTTTAGAATATACGTTCGATGACATATCTTATAGGCTCTAAGGTGTTATGTTAATACATATTATAGTAGTAGTTGTTATAGATTTTAGTTTGATATTTTCAGAACGTGACAGTGGAAAAAGTAATAGCTCATAAGGGATACAACCCCGAAACTCGAATCGATGACATCGCACTATTAAGACTTTCAGATCCAGCTGATTTCAACATGGGTTTGTATATTATCCTTTTTAATGTTAGGTAAGCAGTACGTTTATAAAACTAATAAGTTTCAATAGAAGGTAGTTCATAAGTTTTGCGATTACCATTTACCTATCAATATCTATACAAATATTATAAAGTGGACAGATTTGATTGTTTGTTTGTTTTTATGGAATAGGCTCCGAAAAAACTGGACCGATTTTTAAAATTCTTTCACCTACGGAAAGCTACATCATATGCATTAAACATAGGTCATATTTTATCCCGAAAAACAGTAAATAAAGGGATGAAAATGGGAGTGAAAGTTCGTATAGAATATCAAAACGTTGCCATAGTAACATAAAAATAGTGTTTACTATTCAATTTATCATTGTAATTTAAACAGTGTCATAATACGAATCGATATCCAAATAAACAGTTCACTAAAGACCACGTGGGCGAAGCCGCTGGCGGAAAGCTAGTTAACAAATATAAATGATAATCAATACACAATACAATACACGTAAATAACTGACTGAAAATGAGTTCTTTGGCGCAGGAGTTAGTGAGGTCGGTGCGATTGTGGAGGTAAAGAAAGATCCGCAAACGCTAATCATTACCTTAACATTTCTGTGGTTTGGAAGTTGTGGTTATTCATTCATGTCTCTGCATTTGCAGTTATCCAAACCCACGAATCTGCAATGCGTGGTGAATTATTGCCGATTACACTACGTGATTCTATCTAATATATGTATAAAGGAAGACCAACGACCCAATGAGAGCAATAATAGGCTCATAATAAAATATGTATGATATTGGTGATAGTATAAAAAATAATTATGATTTTAATTTTTAACAGAAAGAATGAGCCCAATATGTCTCCCTTTCACGTCAGAACTTCAAACCGTAGACTTAGTCGCATATTTAGGAATCGTAGCTGGTTGGGGAGCCACTGAAGATGGATTGCAGTCCCCAGTTCTTCTTAAAGTATACTTGCCAATTGTGGAAAACAAAGAATGTCAGGAAGCTTACTATGGGTAAGTGGGATAAGTTGATATTATAGCATAGATTCAGGTACAACTTCAAGTGAAAAACTAATGAATTTAGCACAGGTAATCGGTAGGTTTAATAATGATAGTAGACGGCATAGTATCAAAACCTGGCCGAGATGAAATTTTCAATGCTTGTAATTGTTTAACCCTTTCAGGACCATAACGTAACGGTGATTTATGTAATCATGTCAGCTATTTAAAATGACTCATTAAGCATAAAAAAAGCATATTCTAAAATAAAACCAAAAAAAATTATTATGGTTTTTTTGGAATTTTTAGGGACAAACGTGTCCCTATGGCCGCTAAGAGTTACTTTTTGCTCACATAACGTAACCATAGTTTTTATCAATTATGGGTATTATTCTAAAAAAAATGCACTGTTGAAAGTATTTTTTATTTATTACAGCAAAATAGAGACAAAAGACAAAAACTAATTATGATACTCAGCAAAGCAGTTCCTTTCATTAGTGTAACAAAGGTGAACTTCACATATAATACACGTGTTATTTGTACGGTTTTCTTTCTTATTTTTGGCGCACTGTACGCATCTTTTTCTATTATTTGATTTTTGCATAGGGTGGAAAGGCAACTGCCTTTTGACAGACTTGCGTACTATACTCGTTTTTGTAGTTGAAATGCCTCGTTGCCTAACTGTAAAACCATTTATCAAACTTCGAGCTACTACTTGCCTGAACTGCAAATTGGTCAATAGACTTCCTTCTACGCGTTTTTGATCGTGAAGCTTAGTATAGACAGTATATGCGTTATTTACTGATATATCAAGGAGATCAAAAAATAAACGTAAGTAATATTTTATTTTCGATCTCCTGTCTATTTCATAGCACACTTTACGTTGATCCATGAGATCTACTCCGCCTATGTTTTTATTATAATGCGATACAATCCTAGGGCATATTACATCAATTTTGTCAGCAGAACCAGCTTTACGGCGTTTTACAGTGACTCTTTCTACAGGCGATAGAAAGTTCGTCAACAAATATACCGCTTTATTGTCCATCCACTTCACATAAGTTATACCATGGAAACTTGTGGTGTAAATATCTCCCCGCTTCATGTTTTTATCAAGGGGTGCAGTTTTAGGTAGATGTTTTCTGTTGATTCTTACAGTTCCACAGGCCTTGGTATTCTGATCAATCAGGGTATATTGCAGCATAGGTGAATTGAAAAAATTGTCGATATAAATTTCGCATCCTAGGCCTTCAAGCTTTTTCGTAAGCTGAAGCACGACTGATTCACCTAGCCCATATTCTGACCCGGTAGTTCTTTTTCCGGTATATAAATCGAATTCAAAGAGGTATCCGGTTGTGGCATCACACCTACACCATAATTTGAAGCCCCATTTGACAGGCTTATTTTTTATGTATTGTTTCATTACATTATGCCCTTTGAATTTTATCATATGCTCGTCAATTGATTGTTCCTTGGTATTATTGAGGGCATTTTGAAATGAAGAATTCAAATGTTCCATTACTGGCCGGATTTTATATCCTCTGTCATAATTAGGGCTATTGGTATCTCTTACTTCTGCATTATTACAGAAGTGTAGATTCCTACGAATATCTTCAAATCGAACTCTAGGCATTACATTTGATATAAAAGGCACTCCCATATCTGGTTCTGTAGACCAATAATCTCGCAATGAGGGCAAAATATGGTACCCCATAACTAAATTCATACCCAAAAATGCTCTCATTTCTTCAGTTTCAATAGTGAATTCCCGTCCATTTTGATGAGCATATTTTATTGACTCTGATACAATATTTTGAACTAAAGAATCAAAATTAGTCGTGGAACAGAAAATATCAAAAGGAGTCAATGCCGTTTCAACATCTTGGTAGATTTGCACCTTTCCAAATTCATATTCCACATTACGAAAAGTATTTGGGACGTAACTTCTTTGGCTCCATTTGAAACTCGGTTGACGGTTGCGATCTGCGTGAGCTTCGGGTTCTACTCTAGAAGTTGAGGGTTGAGGTGACATACTTGTTGATTCCTGAAGATCAGATGTCCCATCTTCAATTTCGACAGCTAAAATTCCTTGGTCGTCATCCTGTGTCAGAATTTTTTGGTCTTCTTCGTCAAGCAGTAAATCGGATTCATCATCACTATTATCACACATCAGAATGTGCTGGATTTCACTTTCCTTGAGTTCGAAAACTCCACGTCCCTTACGAAACATAATCTGCAACAATATCAACAAAAAAATATTGTTATTCAACAAAACCAATCAATACAAGAAGTCAAATAATCACGATAAATAATAGCTCTTTACGACCATTGGGACGCCAATGTCCCTTTGTGTATATAATGACTTATAAATGTAAACAATATAAAAAAAAGATTTGTATATATATAAAATAATAAGTTACTTACCAGACAATTATAATTTTACACTAGTAAACGCTTGAAGACACTTGACACCCTCTAATTTCTTTTACAAAATGTTACTTTTTCGCGCCAAACAAACTGTCAATTTCTAATAACCATAGACAAAAATAGGTGTTTCCTATATAGTGTTGCCAGCTAAGAATATAATAAAGACATGTTCAAAAACCAATTAATTTATTAAATACAAATGTTAGTCTCTTGGATATTTTTTTTCTTTTTTATTTGTCAGGGACACATATGTCCCCGTGGTCGTGAAAGGGTTAAACTAAACTGTTTTGTTTTAGTAATTCTCATTGTAATTGTTTAAATTAAACTGTTTTGTTTTAGTAACTTTCGCATATACGATCGTCAATTATGCGCTGGTGGAGTTCAAGGCAAGGATTCTTGCGTTGGCGATTCTGGTGGTCCCTTATTGATTTTCCCTGGTACTACATCATATAATTATCAGTACTTCCAAATGGGAATCGTGTCATACGGGTCAATGCAATGCGGTTTAAAGGGACAACCCGGGGTTTACACAAGACTCGCCTACTACATGGATTGGATATTAGACAATATGCACGAATAAATTAATGTTTATGTTTCAAAGAGGTTTAATAATCAGGAATACAGATGCATTATAAGGGTCAATTATGACTAAAATAAGGGATTATTCTGTGATAAATTGACGTTAAGTAAGGAATAGTTTATAGTTTTTTCATATCTGCCTATTAAATGACAATATAAAAAAAGCTTTGCTCTTCACTTTTAGATTCAGTTAATATATAGTTGTTTAAACTAAATCTGAGTCTTTTCATAGTAAGAAACTCGTTGAGTAAGAATAATAAGAATCATAGTAAGAAAAACTTTTTGAAAAAATATAAAGAATGTAGGAAGTATTCAAGTTATATTTTTGTAGAATAAATGTAATTCCTAAAATATTGTATTTCATTACTAACATTTAATTATGGTCTAAAATTGGGCCATCTACCTGAATCTGGCAATATTTTTGATATGTGCAATAAATTATACCTATGAAACGAAGAAGTCTCAGTGTTTGATTTCAAGTGTGGCATGATAGATGAGCTAAAAATCACAAAGAGTAGGATACAAAATGAACATATCAACATATCTGAAATTATACGTTTATACGCTGCCTGCGGACACTATCGACTCTTATGTGTATTTGGGTCATTCGATTATGTTGGTAGATTTAAATCAAACGGCAGCGATAGACTGACGTACATAGTAAGCCTAGGCAGCCTTCGGAACAAACAAAAAGTTTTGGCGTGGAGGGTTGTCGATAAAACTTAAGGTTAAAGTTTACGAACAGCGCATACTGCTGAGATTATGCCTATTTCCTATTTCCTTCTCTAAAAAGTCAACTGAAAAAATATTTTCGTTAATTGCGAAAGGAATAACGTAGGTATAGTAATATTCAGACAGAATTGATTTTTATTTTAACATTTTTTTTACATGTATTCTAAGATGAGTATTTCGCATACATAGCAAATATTCTGATGTATAAATAAATTGACATCGAAAACGATTAATTCAAGTTTTATTTTAAAAACACACGTACTTATAATTACTTTAATTTCCATATCAAATGTAAAGTGTTATTTAATATGGTCCAAAATCCATTGGAGAAAATAAGCGACTGACGTGTAGACGCCAGGTTTCCTGATGCCGCATACTGTGGGTCCAAACGACACAACACCCACCAAGAAAGTTTTAGGTCCATCAGGAGTGTCGTATACCTAAAAAAGGGAGTGTTTTTCACATATTAAAGAAATATTAGAAAAGATCGCCTTGAACTGAAACAGTTTGGTGAAACTGAAAATAGTTTTGTTTATGATCTCTTTCACACAACTATGACCAAAGTTGAACTCTTAATTAAGAATTTAAATAACATTAGAATGACCCTTTGAATTTGATAAATGGTTTTGTTTGCTGTAGGTGTTATGCTAGGCACTAAGTATTTTTTTTTGCACAACTAACACTGAAAATAAGCTTAAAATATATATTACTTATTGTCTACGTTAAATAAATGACGGAGAACGGAGGTTTTCTTATTTATTGCAATGTAAATAGATCACATAACTTCGCTCATTTACTAGTAACAACTATAAGTACATCCATCATTGGATATGACGTAGATGTTTTGGTGGATTCTCAATAAAAATATTTTGAAGGGATTGTATTATTGTTTTGAAATTATAGTGACTGTCATTTTCGGAGAAATGGAAAAAGCCTTGTAGACGAAATTTCTGATCGGTTGCTATAGTATAGGTAATTACTTTCATTAGTGGTCCTCCAGAATCACCTCCACAGGCATCTTTGTTTAATTGTGCGCCTGCGCAAACTTCAGAGTCTTGCATTTTAAACTCTCGTCCAAACATATCACACATTTCAGGTTTCACTATAGGTAACTGGAAGAGAAAAATATACTTCAGTTTTCAAAATCTATATAGGTATTTATTCGAATATCAATTCCTTTATTCGTGGCTTACTTTCTTTATTTGAGGATGCAATAGAAAGGAACTCAGTGTCGTTATACACTGCATCTTTTGATGAAGTTGGTTGAAGCGGCATTTATGTCAATGTCGCTTCTCGCTGTCTCTATGCTGAGATCTCTTACTTCACAACGGATTTAAAAACGATTTTCATCAATATACAGAGTGATTTAAGAGGAAGATTTATTACAAAACCACGCGGGCCAAGCCACTAACGGAAATAACTAGCTTTTGATATAAACGTTCAGAAGTTGCTTGAATATGATCACCTATATAAGTGAAATAAACTCGAAGGGAATCTGAACAACGAACTCTGATGGAGATACGACTTTAAACTTCAATAATCTGGGTATGTAATTTTGCAGTGTGGGTGTGTCACACTGGAAAGTTCTAATTATTGTTGAAAATTATGTGTTCAATAAATGGTTCATTCATATAATTACTTTCGTATTTTCTATATTCGCATAATTTTTTGTGAACAATGATATTATATTGGTTTCCCATGAATGAGAGACAAATATATATTTCATCTCGCGGTCAAAATTGTAAGTGTTTCCCATCAAAACATAACGGCAGGCTTTTGTCGACCTACCACGCACTAACGGTGAAAAACATCCGCTGAGTGCGGCAGCGGGCCTGTTTCGGCCCGCACTTCTAACAGGCAGTTTTCGACCCGATATCGCACAGAGCGCGCGCCCCGCCAGTTAGTGTTGTGCTAACTGCTCTGACGTAGCGTACGTAGCTCTTTATTGCTTGCCATCGTCGATATAATCAACGATGGCAAGCAATAAAAGAAAAATACAAATTTTGGAAAATAGAGTTATTCGCCCTGCAGTTATAGAAAGTTGTTTAGTTTCGCGAGTTCTGTGGTAAAACTTATAAATGGTTAATAAATCACACGGAATTAAGAAAAAAATCATTTCAGAAAATCAAGTAAAACCTAAGGACAATGACCATGTCCTTGAGATGAGCACTAAACGAAGAAATTGTGCAGGGTGCTACGACAGACTGTGAAAAACCTTTAATAGTACGCAAAAAAAAAGTTAAGAAAATAAAAAAATATTGCAGGAAATGCAACCAAATCCTTTGCGTGACATGTTTCCAAGACAGGCATAAGTAAATAAAAACATTATTTAGTTCTTTTACGATAATTCTGTTTTATTTTCGATATCCCCTTATTTTTCTCTGTACCATCACCACTAAAAATACTTTCTAAAGCGGTTCAGGTCGATATCTGTCTGTCGCTTTTCCTGCTTTATTATTCATTTCCTGTTTGGCAGATCCTGGGGCAAATCAAACCTAAGGAAGTTGGGTTCAAGGTCATTCTAACAATATAAAAAAAATGTTTACATTGTGTTTCCACAAAGTTATAGCAATTTAATCTATCCTAGTGCTGGTGGGTCTAGAAAAACCTGCCACGCACTGCTGGAAATATCAATGGGGGCGCATATTGACCCGCCACCGCACCAGATGAAGAATTATGATTTTACTTGCCGCAGTGAACGTGTACAATAATAAAATAACAACAAACATAACAACTTACAGCGACTACTTGAAGTATTTTAGCTCTTTCTTCAGTAGTCATGTTAATTTTGCCCCAACCAGCAGCTTGAGCAATCTCACCGATCTTTACACCTGCCAGCTGCTCTCCATTTTGTGGTAAGCAAATTGGAGCTACGTAGTCTGCGTGTATAAATGCAACAAATGATGTTGGTACTATATGTTTCTTCCTAAAAAACTACGACCAAAGTCTACATAAATAAGATAAAAAAACACGCATCACAAAATTAAGGAATCCGTCTGTTGTTTGGTTAATTACGTTTTTTCAGAAGTAATTTTAGTTTTCGACAAAAAGATCAAACACAATATTGACACTTGAATTCTTTATTATTATATATACTTTTGACTCACGAGGCCTTTCTACATTTCTTGGAACAGGAAAATTTACATTAAAACACAATACCTAATGGTTTTACGGAATACGATCTTACCTTCACTGTTTTTAAAACAGTAATTTTCTTAAATTGTACTCGAGTTTTTTTCAATCATTGGCTACGTATATAGTAATTTACGAAGATTCCCTACGCCTTAACTATAGAAATATCTACATTTTCAACAACACACGTTAGGTGTGCGACCGACTAACTCTCTAGCCATGACTCTAGCATACGACATGTAACCGAATATTATGAATTTATTTTGTTTCTTTTATTTCTTTGGTATGGTCTTTTATCAATCTTTCGTTGGATAAACGACTAGGTTGGTAAGTTGGTAACACTACTGTCAAATTCATAATCATCATGCTTTATCAATCGTCATCATTAAAAATCACGTCAGTAGTAGTAAAATGAAATATCGCCATAACATCGCTAAGATGTGGTATCCTATGACTAGAGTCATGGCTAGAGAAGAAGCGGTCGCACCCCAGTCAAGTCAAAGTCAAAATAATCTTTATTCAAATAGACTTCGTAAAAGTACTTTTGAATCGTCCAACATTTTTTCCCTACCACTCGTTCAGGACGTCTTTTGGCTGATAAGAAGAACGAGCAAGAAACTCACCAGCTCTAATATGAGGTTAATACATTATGTCAAATTTCTCCAGTTGATTCTTGTCAGGAGAAATTTTGACAGATTTATATAACCCAACGTGCTGTTGGCTGAACTAAAGTATAAGTAATATTGTTCTTACCGTTTAAATCTACTGGGATGTCTAATCTGAGAATAGCGAGGTCGTTATGGAAGGGAGGTATATTGAAGGAAGGGTGTATGGTGGCGTTTATGATTCCTCGATCCTGGACCGCGGGGGCGCATATCGATAGTTCGCAGTCAGGGTCTGTCCGGATATCGTGCTCACCTAAACGGACGTACTTCCTGGAAGATGTTTTAAAATATGTCAATCTATATATCTAGGGTAACTCAAATGTTGTTTGTTAATTTCATTAAAATTAAAGTTTTTTTTTGTTTTGAACTAATTTTAGGAATCCAATAAAAGTTTAATAGATGAGATAATAAGAAAGTGCAATAGTAAAAGCAACTATTTTATTTTTCAAGTTTAACTGTGTCTGTCCGATAGTGTGCGTTCAGAAATGAGTTTATTTAACTTTGTATTTGTTGTTGAGTCCATTTGCATATACTTGTAGAAAAACTATGTTAAATATTTTGATATATAATATTTATAAGTGTTATCTATTATTTAAAAAAAATCCAATTCGAAGCTCATATTATAAAAAGGAAAGATTTGTTTGCTTGTTTGTTTGCATTGGACAAGCTCCGAAACTATTGGACCGTTTTATGAAAGTTGTTCATCTATGGAAAGCTACTTAATATGCGTTGGACATAGGCTATAATTTACGCTGCCAAAGTTGCAAGGAAATAGCTAGTTTGATAGGAATGGGTTACAATTTAAAAAAAAATCTATTAACATACCTACTTTTATAAAAATATACATACTCGTTGAACATAGAAAATCCTTCTATCTGATTTTGAATGAATGCAAATTAGGCAATCTTTTGTTTTTGAGCTGGAAAGGGCCATGTCGTACCATATCAACAAATTTTTGGGTGATATTTGGTGAAATTAGTGAAATACGTAGATTTGGGAGTACGGTTTAAATAGCAAAGTTGAAACTTGACTTTATCAAATCACCAAGGTCAAAAGCGTTTTAACCATAATCATTTTTTTAGGACTGTGAAAGAGATTTTTGTCCTAGTATTGTATACTACTTACAGTGCGTATTCTTCTTCTTCTGATGGAATACAATGTGCAGCTGTTATCACGATGCGGTCTGTTATGAGGGCGCCACCACACATCCAGTCTATGTCTGGATCATCTGGTACTGGTAATGAAATAATGTAACAGCATTTAGTAACATAGTCGCTGAACTTTTAGTAATAGACATAATTTTATAAAAATTAAATGTAATTCATCCATAGATGAGTTCGTTAGTGTATTACTTTAGTACTTTTGGTCTAAATGCCTTCCTATGTTTTGAGTTTTATCTTTTCTTATTGTGTATTAGTTCTTTACTACTCTCCTGTCCATTATCTGAAATATCTATATCCTGCCTTTTTCCTTTCGTCCTTTCTCTGAAATCCAACTCAAAGCTTTCAGGGGAGGGGTCTCAAATAGTCTCGAGCTCGATAGTCTCTCATTCGTATATGGACAATTTCAAAAGACAGGACAGGTACAGTAAAGGGTAAGTAGCGTTTAAACTGAATTTTAAAAAGTGGCTTCCTGCAACCTTTATCTGATGGTGGGGGGCCTACCCAGAGATCGTCGTCCGGAACATTGTCAGTGTTCCAGAACCAGAAGTCTCAGTGGCCATCGGCTTTTCTAACTATGCGTCCCGCTCATTGATCAATGTTAATAGTATACCTTTAACCACTGGACTATATTACTCACAGACATATCCGAGCCGAGCGATCCATGGAAACTGTCCTAGTGCTGCTCTCGTGCCACCAATAATACGATCGGCAGCGTTCTCTCCACATTCTAAGGAGTTCAAGATCTGCCATGCCGGGTGACTCGATAGTTGTGATGTGGAATTTAATGCTCCGACAGTGATGTAACCTAAAAATAATATTATAATTTATTTATTTGTTAAATGCAATGAAATGAAAATATCTTTATTCAAGTAGGCTATTACAAGCACTTTTGAATCGCCCAAAAAAAATGATTTCCTCTACCACTTGTTCAGGACGTCTTTTAGCTGACAAGAAGAACAAACGAAAGAAACTTACCAGCTCTTTATCATAAGTAATGACATTTACAAAAATCATGTCATTACCAAAATAATATGTATTATCACAATAATAAATACTACTTTCAAAGTCTGTAGGACATAGGTTGAACATATAATTAGTCTTTATAGAACAAAGACAATGTGTATAGCCACACAAAACATAAAAAGTAAAAACATATTTGACAGACAATATAATTTGAGTCTAGACTACAACCCGGACTACTCTACCAACTGTTGAATTGACTTCTTTTTACTTTTTCTGCTAGTTGGGAGAGTAGAGTCTTAGACAGCGATAACTCGCGGGTTTGATTCCTTTGAAGGTGCTAGATAGTCCATTTTTTAAATATTTTTGTATAAATGTTATATCATGTGTATTATATGTTACATTGGACTTGGATGTCTTGTCATCTGTCATCTTGTTTTGTTTAAGGTTGTAAAGACAAGACTTTACCAATCTATTTAATTGTGCCTAGTAAGGGTCAGAGCATAGCGAATTGCGTGTAAAAAACTATATTTAATTAGTTACTCACAAACCATTACGCATATTGTAAAAGTTTTGTTTAAAGAACTCGGTTACACAGTTACATGTATTATTTATAATTGTTTTCTATAAATAACGAGAATAGAAAAGTAATTTTAAAAAAAATTTAGGTTATTTCCATACAGAAAATTTGTTAAAAATCACTCAATAATGGCGACATGTCCCTTAAATTAGCATGTGTATTTATTATTTATATTATTATTTCTTAGTATAAAATCAATAAAAATATAGTGATTTTTGGTGAACTTAAATCTCGTTTTCTCTAAAACTTTTAACTTTTAATAATTTTATAAAAAATAAGTGGGAATATTTTTAATTATAAGTATGATAACGGTATAATTAATGAGAATTTGTTTTAATATAATGCTTATGGAAATTAAGGACATCACAAAGATTATTGAATAAACTACAAAATGAGAGCAATATATCGGTATAATATATAAAATATATATCTGCCGTAATAACAAATAATAATTTTTGTGTTCGAAAAATCTTCACCAGAATCTAAGAATTTTATATTAGTTACGCTCATATAAAGTAATTCATTTACAGACATCAAAGCGCAATCATTAGAGAGATCTAATTAGGTTACTATCATGTAGGTTATTAAAGTCATTAGGGATTGGTGATATTAGTTAATATATATATTAGTTAATTTACCAATTTTATGAAAACAATTAACTCACCCACAAAACTGCATAAAATGGAGAAGTTTATGTAAACAGTTATATTCATTTTTTGTTTTTGCTCATGTCTACCTTTTTATCGAACGAACAAACACAACTCACGGCCACAGGCAAGTCCATTAAAGTTAATAAAATCTTATAACTGCTAAAAGAAACGTAATGCTCATAATCAATTATATACGCGCGCGATGCACTTAAACTGCCGTCAGTTAGGCGCAGGTTGGTAGGTATAGGCTTTTATGAGTATTGAATCTACAAATCTATCAGTTTCTGAGTGGTTCACACGCCGGTTTCAAAGTGTCGTCGTCTTCGGGTTCGATTTCTAGTTGGGTCAATTTAGCATGCTTTTTATGTATATTCACTGATTTCCAGGTTGGTTTCGGCTATATCAGAAGTAGCTAACTGGACTGTACTAGATCTGCCTGGTGGTTTATGGCCCATTCACTTTATATGATTGATACCATTCATATAATCCAATGATCTAGCAGATTGATGTACACAGACAACATAGTTTTTAATAACATGTTAGACAAACTGCAAATCATAATCATAGATAGCAGCACATCAGTTTAAAAGGAAAAACTGCAATCAATTATAAATTGAGCTATCAAGCAAATAATAGTGATTATAGAAACTTTTATATATATAAACTCGACGCGCTGTCGGTTGTACAACATTCAAGGTCTTTCAAGAGTAACATTGACCTTAAATATTTTTTCAAGAACCTCGTTTACTTCTGTTGATTTCTCATAAATCACAAAGTAATTTTTTGTATTATTTTTTTGTTCATTCAAATATATTCGTATGGAGGTTTCTATATAAGCAAACGTATACCAGTTTAAAGGTGTTACCATAGATCAGGGTCAATTCAAGGCCGAGGTTTACCGAATGTCTATCCGAAATGAATCTCTAAAAAATAGATGTGTTAAAGGGGAAATTGAAAGTCAAAATGGAAGTACTTTAAAATCATCTAACATTTTTTACCTGACATTCGTTCAGGACGTTTTTTGACTTATAAGAAGAAAGAGCAAAAGAAACTCACTAAGCTCTAACAGAAGTAAACGTCATCAAGGGAAGATTATTTAACTGCATCTCCCTCTCTTAATGGGGACAGCCTTCAGAAGATGTGTACGCTAACCGAGAATTGCACGCTTTTGTCTTGACTTAAGAAGGTTTAATGGTCTTATACACGTACGTATCTTTAGTTATTTTAACTAAAAGACGAGTATTCAATTGAAGTAAGAAATTTATTAGTTATTCACAGTTCTTCATTCATTCAAAATTTTGTTAAATTGATAAAAATATCTGCTCCAGCTATGTCATATTCTCAAGTAATACTTCTCTCGACTATAGATACGCGTGTTAGTGATCTATACCATCATAATAGACGATGAGATAGATGGAAACAGAGGATTGCGAATTGCGAGGTAAAACGATTTTTAATTAATTACTCGTAAATCATTACGATTAAAATTTCGTTGTAAAGCTCTCGGCTATAATATCGCACACCTAGATTTAAACTAAGACAACTCAAAAACCTAATGTGGAGGTTTGACAATACATTTGTTTACGTGGCAGGAGCGCGACCACTGTTGATTCGACAAAAGAAAGCTAAAGTTATCTAGCGGCTCATCCTCGAACCTTTATTGAAGCTGTTATGTTGGATAGCTGCGTATGATCACCGAGAATTTGAATATCGTACAAAGTCAAAACTCGCTCAAATTTTTGAGTTGTCTCAGTTTAGATCTAGGTGTGCGATATGTGAGTCACAAATGTTATAATTGTCGCGAGAAAAATTTAAGGTAATTTTGTGATTTTTTTCTATCAAGAATCTATACTATTTTTTAAGGAAGAAAGATTTGATTATTTGCATTAAAACTTTCAACTATGGTAAGCTAAAATCACACGCGGATGACAGACTACAATTTTAGCGGGCGAAGTCATGGGAATTTTATAAACTCACGTTTTCATTGTGGTAAAACCCTTAGAAAGGTAATGTAGTTTTTTTTCTTTTTAATTAGATTGGTAATGTTTCTTTATACTAATGACAACATCAATGGACATTTGTGCAACTGGATTTCTTTTTTTATAACGTCAATTTGATGTCATTTCTAAAATACCACACTAAACTAAACTGATCATAAATTTTTTAACTTTAATTTGAGTTTGGTTTAACGTTATTCTATTTCCATCTCTAAGAAATATGACTCCTTTATACTATTTATATATTAACTTTATTTCTGTTATCTTAATTATTTTCGCAATTGAAAACGCTGTTTGACATAATTAAAACTGAATTTAGTTTGTGCAAAAGGTTGCTGCTTTGATTCTTTTGTCGTGAGAGTCTAGTTTCTCGTGTCATTTAGTCATTTTGCAAATGCAGAACGCTGTCCTAGTGAGAACTGGTTATTGTGTGTACAGTTCATCACCATGAGCATGACACATGGGTCAATCCCATCAATTATCACAACTGGTAAGTAAACGTTTGATTGCAACTTGTTATAACCCACTTTTGGTATATTAATATTAATACCTCTTCATATTTTATGTTCTTTAGAGGAAAAAGGTATAAAAATAATACTTTCTTAAAAAATACTCTACGTGATAATAATCACAACCAGATTAAGAGTTCCAACCTTGGCAAGTTCCCCATATTTGCAATTATTTGAATATAGATATGCGAAAATTTGCGAGGATGTATTATATATGTATGTATGAATGTTTTATGCAAAACTGCTGAACGGATTTTGATAAATTTTTGTGTACGCATAATTTTTCCAAAAAAAGCTTGTTTTATAAACAATTTCCTTTTTAGTAATTTCATTGTAATTAAATTTTTTCGGACCATTTCGAACCAATGCGAGCGGGAGTACCGTCGTCGGCTTTAGATGCGTGTTTATTATAGGTGCTAAAAACATAATTAATATGCCATCCTGGGTGGTTCACTATATTGCATTGAGAATCTATAGTTAGCTTTCAGCCTACATTTTGGAAGTGCTATTACTATTAAACCATATGAGTGGTCCGCCATATTAGATTTAGAATAAATGCATTTCCTTTCACATATGGTATTTGTTAGTAAACCTTCTTTTATTAATGGATTATCTGCGCATTTCGCACAATTCTGCCAATGTCAAGTGAATAAATTAATTTCTACATGTAAAGTGAAAATGAAACTATGTCAAAAGGTTGACTCGATGATTATCTAGTAAACCTTTTCATTTAATACCTCTCATAAGACAGTGCATAAAAAATATCTTGCGGCATCTTGAGCTGTCCACCATATTAGATTTAACTTAGCCAACCATGCATTGTCATCCTCTGTAGTATGCAAAATTTCAGCGAACATTTTCCTATATCTATGATAGAGAATAACTTTTAACACAACATTTTTTCTTTATTTGAAGCTGACCAATTCCTTGATTTTTAATCTCTTTATTGATAACTAGTGGCCGCCAGCGACTTCGTCTGCGTTTTCCATTATTTCTTCACTCCTAATAGTTGCAGCGTGATGGTTTATAGTCTAAAGCCTTCCTCGATAAATGGTCTATTTAACACAAAAATAATTTTTCAATTCGAACCAGTAGTTCCTGAGATTAGCGCGTTCAAACAAACAAACAAACTCTTCAGCTTTATAATATTAGTATAGATTTGAGAACGAATAGTATAGCTTTCAACTTTCACAAGTGCTTTTTATTTATATTTTTTTACATTGGATTTGAATGTGGCATTCTTTAATATACAAAGTGATTCAAGAAGAAGGTTTGTATGTAAGTACAATACAGGACCACGCGGGCGAAGCCGTTGCTAGTGGATATTTTAAAGTTAATGTAAAATTATTAAATAAACAGAAGACTTTGATTAATAGAGGTGTAGAGAACTTTTTTATACGATATATACGATATTTTTTAGATATACATGACATATGTTTGTAAAAATATCGTATAAGTACAATAAAAATAAATTTAATTTTCCAAATTTCCCGCGAAAACACCCCTTCTATCATGGCGTTGCAATGACGTCACGGTCCTCTGAAACTAATATCGTTCTATGTAAGTATGCATAAAGTTGAATTATTAAAGTTCTGATATGAGTAAGAACGTGACATCACGCGCTGTTTTAAGCATTATATTATATAATATAATATATATTGCTTAAATAAATATATATCAGAAAAAAAAATATTTTCGTTTACTGTCTACACCCGTAGTAGGTACTTGCAAACTATTAGGTAAGAGTGTTGCATATAGTCGGCTACAAAGTTACTCACATATTTATCAATTTTAAGTATAATTATGAGGAGCAATCGAATGAATGAAAGTTATTTTAACTTTTTTCTATTGAGCATACTAAATATATTATAAATTCATGTTTCTTTTGTATTACAAAACACTCAGAGGTATGATATAGTTTTGTCAATAATAATTGCAGCTTAATAATTGCAATTTGCACTTGGACGTATTAGTATACACACAAAACAAATGTAAGATAGTAATTTTATAGTGCGCTCCTTTGCGCCTATTCTTGTTTGTAAAAATACAAATGAATGGGTGGTAGGTAAATGGTAAATTTATAGATCGACCGAACTTCCAACAATCTTAATGATAAAAGAAAATGTTCACTTGATTTGGAGAACCTACAAAAGTACAAATTTGGAATGTTATTTAAATGAACAACCAATTTTAAACAAAATAGCTCTGTTATTATCAATCATATTAATTGATCTTTTGCCTGTTTAGATGTTACAGTTAAATTGACATCACACAATATCAAGGCTAATAATTTCTTGAGTGAGGCCAATACTGATAAGATTTAGTATTCGTGAAACGGTTAACACAGTTTCTAGACATAGAGGTTTATCATCCGATGAACTATCTATATATGTATGTATGATATTAAAAGCACCGTTTACTGCGCTCGGGTCAGATAGCGAGACTGACGAGTCGACCAGTATCTTGCGAGAAGCTAGTATGGTAATGAACAGTCCGAGTTACGATTTCTCATCGTTTCGTTCTATCATTCCGTACTTATCTTCAAAACAATAATATCGTATCAACTTCATATTTCCTTTTTATATTTAATATTTTTGAGGTAAACGTGAAAAGATATACGACTGAGCGCATTATGACTTAAGAAAGATAACCTGTAACGTCATTGGATAAAGTTTAAAATGTTTATAGCTGTTAAAAACGAATATCTACATGAACATGATACCTGTGCGTCATAGATGTTTTAATTAAGTTGTAAAATAGTAAATACATTTGGACATTAGTGTTAAACAAATTGATATGTGGACACGTGTAGTAAATTTTGAGTTATCCAAAGAGAAAACTGACGAGTGACTGAATTATAATTTGGAACGAGAATGGATCGATTTTCTTTGTGTACATTGTTGGCGTTGCTGCTACCAGTGAAATGTTGTGAGTTATTTTGAGTTTATGTATTTTTTTGTTAATTAATCATTCATAACAATCGAAAACGTTTTTATAAATCATTTTGATATTATAAAGTAGTAAGTAATTGCTTTTAATTTGTGATACGTTCGCAACAAATATTATGCTTATTGGTGATCTCGATGAATAAGAAAAAGTGTTTATTTTTAGAAACTGCTATTTTTTTTATTGCAATTTCGTAGAATGGGTAGTTTTCCGCTCCATTTAACCTTGCTCTTTAACCTATTATAATGTTTGATATCTGTCTAAAAAAACTATTAAATTGGTATGTTAAGTACGTGATTACAATTACGATCCTATAGCGTATACCTACTTTAGTCTGCTTTGAATAATTTTATGTAAATTGGTTGAAGAATAAACATTTAAACGAGTCTTGAAATTTTGTGACCTCTTATATGTTGGTTATATTATTAAAATATATACTTTCATTTGAAGAGTTATTTTCAATTGAAATCTAATTGACAGGTTATAAGTCTAACTTTTTATAACCCATTTATTCCGTTTTTTAACCGATTTCACAATCGTAAAGGCGAAGCTTCTATGGTCGACGAGTATGTTTTTTGTTTCTGTATATAACTGATTTTTCTGCGAATTATTTGTATATTTATATTCTTGCTCTTTAGCTGGGAGTTATATAAGTATATATGTATAAAACTGTTTCGATCTGCATTTAGTATATTGTTACTGAACATTAATTTTTCCAAGTAAATTACATTATACATTAGGTTACATCTGCAGTTATCAATAGATAGGTGTTATTATTATGCCGTTAAACTCCACCTGGAGATATCTTTTATGAGTCAAATAGTCATTGACTGGTAGTTCAATCTACTATAATAACTCCTCCTATTAAGATTAGCCACCAGGGCATACATAAATACCTATCAAATTTAGATTGAAATAAGCTACAAACAAACGGGTTTTTGCAAAGATTTCAATGGTTTTGTCTAGTATTTTTTAAACTATTAAAGTTTTCATTTTTATTTATTAGCTTTACGCCTTCGGCTTCCCCCGCATGAATAACATGAGTTTCAAACTCCTATTCAACACCCGGGAGAATTATTCAAAATCCTTTTTTAAGGTACCTCTGTGTCATAGATAATTACAGTTAGTGTGGCAGCCAAATATCAGCTCGATCCGTTCAATAGTTTTGAGATATCCCTTATGATGACCAGTCGTTCGGTTAGCTTTATTCATTTTCAAAATTAAAACATAAAGACAAATAGAGTGATGGATATAGTTTTTTATTCCTCTGATTTTAAGTGTGATTTTGTAGCTCAGATTCATACAAACAAAGTTAAGCACAAAGCTTTAGGTTTACATAAAAAAATCTGTTAGCAGTAAACAGACTAATTTGACGTTTTATGTATTCCTAAATTTAATTACACTTTAAATAAGTATTTAACATTCAATTATAAATTTCATGAAATCGACAACCTACGTAAACATTTAAATCGAAGAGACTGACGTCAAAACATGTTATTTGAAAATATGTAATGTCCCATTTACGATAATACCATAAACAAAGTTGACGTACATATGTTTTGCCTTCCTAATCAATGATGTGATAATGGTACAATTATAGGCACGCGAACACAGTAATTATTGTAATTTCGCAATCATTTGTGAGACAGATGGAAACAATAGAATCAAATAGAATCTAAATTGTATTTGTTAAGAGTTAATTTGAAAAGAAATGATACGAAACTAATACAAAGATAGAGACAAACGACATCGTATTAAGCGGAATAAAAGTTCACAAATTATTGATAACCAACTTCACTATAATAAAACTATAATTAACTAACCACACAGTCAAATTTGTGTTATGGCTCTAATGGAAACGCTCAAGACGCGTTATGGCAATCGCAGAATAACCACAGAGGGAAATCCGTGTCGTGGCTGACATGCTATTCGACCTCAATGCGTTGTGGTAATGAAGTAGCAAAAGTAGCAAATGATACTTGTCCCATGCGTTTGGGGGCCCAGCGCCATTGGGGACTCGCTATGGTTTAGAGCCAATAAATTATTTTTCTAATTAGTGTTAAAAAAATACAAGAAATAAAATAGACCACAGTTCTGACTAAACTCATATTTTTAACCCCCGACTACTAGTTATAAGTTTGACATATTCGTGTCTGCGGAATCATAGCTCCCGAACGAATGAAGCGATTTCATTTTTTTAAAGGTGTCTTATGTGCGATTCTTCTTAGACAAGAATAGCCGTATGTCAGCAAATATACTCGAGTGGAGTCCCAATGAAAGGGCATTATAGGAAAGAGAATATTGACGAGAATATTCTTTATTTATCGATATATGACGGGAAAGAGAATATTCTTAGCTTCGGTTGATGAGAAAATTATAAATAATTTATAAATTATTTGTTTCGTGGAGTGTTAGCTATGAAGGAGTGACCGAGCTATATTTTTGTGGAAAAAGCATCAAAACATCGGTACAAGTGAATCAAGAAAGTAGTTAAACCCCTTAACAACACCATGTTCAATTACCAAGAATGGTCCTTTTAGCAAGACTCAACGCCAGGTCATAAAGCTCGATTCACCCAATCTTTAGAAACGAAGGCTCCGGACTTCATGAAAGCTCAAGACTGGCCGTCATCTAGTCTAGATCTTAATATGCTGGATAATGATTTATGGTCGGTTTTAGAGAGTAAGTCTTGCTCTAAACGCCATGATGATTTGGAGTATCTAAAACAATTCATACGATTGGATTTTCTCATATTCCAAAGAGTGCGTGCGTCGTAAACGTTCAAAGGACTGTATTGCAGCTAATGGCGACAACTTGGAATAATGTATATATTTAATGGCTTTATATTAATATATTAAACTAACACGCTGTAATATAATAAATGTTAAATAAAAAAATGTTGAATTTCTAAGTAACAATATTTATGACAAGACTATGTAAATAAATTTGCGACAAACTCTCACTTTCACTTCTGATTTTTGTATTTTGGAAAGCTCTTTCTTTAAAAATGTATACACTAAACTTTCACTTTCTGTCATATTATATCGAAGAAAATGTTTTATTGGAACAGCTTTGATTTGATATAATTGTCATGCATTTATATGTATGACTTAAAACTTTTGATTTGTATCAATTATCAAATTCAGTGTTTTTTTATTTCATTGACAATTTTATTCTGCACTGTAAATCCCTGTAATTGGTGTAGATATTGGTGTCATTGTTAGAAATACGTACACTGTTGGCGTATCTACATTAAATAAGTAAAAATGGGAATTGATAAAAATAAATTTCAGCTAAAATTTAAAGAGAAAATAAATTACCATGATTTTCTGTTAGTATTCCTAGTATTGTTTAAATTTATTTGTAGTTTAAGTGCTTACAACAAACACGATTTTTTGCAAATAATAGCTGGGATGATGACAATTTTTTTTATTGTCTGTCAAGTAGATTAATAAAAAATATTAAACACGTATTTTTTTTTGTAATCAAAAAATTATTGCTATATATTTAGTTGAAATGTCGCATGGCATCACACCTTTGTACATTCTCCACATGGTTTTGAATTAGTGAGCCCCACTCTAAACTTTAATACCTAATATTTAAGACAGTTCTTGTTAAATCGAAGCAAAAAAAATGTATGTAATATTTTTCTAATATCTGACTGAGGGACTATATAGATTTCGCCTATGATAATTCTTATATATGTATGTATCGGATAGAGCACAAAATCTATAATATTTTGTCCCATTTGAGTTTAAGCTAGGAATAATAATCTTACAACCTATACAAGTCCAGTGTGTTATAAAATAAGTTGAAATAGATTAATATACAGATATTTTATTGTATTAATATCATTGATACTTGCAAAACTGGTCGAACGAGTAAATAAAAACGATGATAATGTTAATTGAGTCGCCGGTTTCAAGTACCTACTGAAGAATGCTTTCATGTAACCGGTTGGATAAGGAAAAGTATGAAATTATGCGACAACAATATTGAATATCAATATTTTGAAATCTGTACAATATACATTCTTGTGTGTAATATTTATTGATTTAATATTATTTTTATTACATTCTAGTATATGCTGGCGACAGTTGCATCGCAGATGATCAGCCAGGCACATGTTCCCGTCTCTCTGAGTGTAAGCCGCTAATGGACGAGATCAGGAGGGCTGGAAATCCAATGCCAATTCACCTTAGAATGAAATTAATTGATCTATCTTGTGGATTCGAATCAGAGGAACCTGTGGTAAGTACCAATATAAAAATATAACACTTGATCTACTTGACATTTTAAATGCTGTTATGAAGATATAGCATATTCTAATGATTCATCGGCACAATAGCTTGACGGATGTTTATTATTTGGGTCCTTTTCCATTGATGGAATAAGATATGAAAAATATTCCTGAACACAAAACATGGGTCCAGTAGGGCAATTCTGCTAATGTTAGCGTAATTATGGAAAGTCAATAGCGCTTCGATTAACCCTTTATGACACAGCTCTTGTTACTAGATTACAAAATAATAATAATACACCTGTCATCATTGGTTTGTGAGTAAGACATTGCACTAATAATATTGGACTTCAAGTAGTTTGTACAATGACAAAATGCAAGTAGTTAAGATTCTATTCAAACGAGATTATTACATAAATATTTGTAAAATTGAGGCCCAGTACAACAGTATTATTCTGTTATATAAACAGCGAACTCATCGTAGTCCAGACATGTCACAGCATACAGTTTCAGTAAAATTAAATCTATTTCAAATGTAAAGGTTTAGCTAATTGGTGGGTGTTAACAACTGCAGATGTAGCCGGGACCAAGAACCTTCCGTAACACGGTTTTGCTTTTGATAGGCATATTAAAACTGGAGAGATTCCTCCTTTCAATCGAGGATTATAAGCCAGCCATTAAACGTTCAATATATAATAAATGTGATACATTTTAATCTGGCATTTATTTTTTAACTCAATTCAGCATATTTTTAGGTATTATTAACTACTTACATTTTGCCATTGTACTATCTCCCTGAATTTCAATATTATAAGTGTAATAATTCTTCCTAATAAATCAAAATATTTATTACTAGTTTTCCGCCAGCGGTTTCGACCATGTATCTATGAAAAAAAATCGCATCAAACTCCGTTGCGTAGCTTTAAAGATTTTAGCATACATAGGCATATAGGGACAGATAAAGCGACTTTGTTTTATAATATGTAGTGATTTTGTGATCTAATAATAAGGAATATGTCATAAAGGGTTGTAATTTAAGCGCTATTGGGTTTCCATAATTACACTTACATTAGCAGAATTGTCCTACAGATCAAGATCACGGATTTATTTAACGCCAGACTGATAGTCTAATGTCCCGATTATACACCTTAGGTCTGCTGCACTGCATCATCCGGCAATCCGAGCGTAGTTACTCCAGATCCTGTGGCCACTGCTGCCACCAGTGTTACCATGGACGTCACTTCTGACTCATCTGTTAGCAAACAGCCAAATGATGATGGAGATGCCAACGCCGAAAGCCGTTTGGGGTTGCCTAATGTACAGAACCATCCGAATTTGCGTCTTTTACCCACAACAAACTGTGGCATTTATGACAGCGATCGAGTATTCGGAGGCAACAGGACACGTCTGTATGAAATGCCATGGATGGTTCTACTGGCATATGACTCACGTAAGTATATTTTCTATATACATTATTTACTTTTACTTCGTTTGTGAAAAAAAATATTAAAAGTTTTATTGATCTATATCACTCTTATTCGAAACAGCATTTTTATTACCTACTAAGAAAGCAGATTAAATAATTAGATTATGATTATTCATAAATTAGATTAGATTAGATGAGATGATATACCTACCTTTACATTTAATAACAACTTACTTAAGAATTCTTAATATCTAATAATGTCGTATTTTTCGTAAATTAATGACCTAAGTTTACACGTACTATATTGCATTATTAACGTTTATTCACAATCCAGAAAATAATAATACATACAATACAAGGGGAGCTGACATCTCATTTTTCTTTATAAAATGATTCAGACATCTTATTCTTACGTAGGCACCTATATAAAATAATTATAATAATATGAATCATTAATATGTTTATATTTAATAACGTCATCAAACTTTATTTTCCTTATTATAAAACGTTGCAAGTGATTGCCTTTGGCTGATTCTGGTTTTAACTTCCTGTTTAGTTAATTAGATTTAGAAATGGCATTTAAGAAAAGTATTATGTGATTTTTTATCTTTCCTTTAAATAAATGCAATGATTTCTGTATGACCAAACGAACATCTGAAAATCTTCTGAAATATTTTTAAAATTTGAATATAAGGAACTGATTTAAACAGTTTAAGAGTTTAGAGCACAGTTGAAAGCCCGTGAATTTACTAACCGAATTAGTAATATATTTTTTTCTACTAATGACACCTGAAGGGCTATTCTATTTTTCAGAAAACGAAAATTCTTCTAATTTCGATGCAAAGAAACGTATTTTTCGATAATTTACCGTGCAACGTAGGTACGACCTGACACTGTCCCTGATGTTTTTACGGATAGGATAGGAGTAGGTTATGCACTTTAACTATATTGAATATTTGGCAATTTTTATAAAACGTTCAAAATATTGTAGCAGCTTTAGAATTTCGATTTTTAGCTTTGAATAGAAAAAACTCCTATTTTAACTTCAACTATACAATTTTCAGCGCGAGGAAGAAAATTGAGCTGCGGTGGTACTTTGATTAGTGAATGGTATGTGCTGACTGCGGCACATTGCGTTTCATTCTTAGGCGAACGCCTGAAATTCAAGGGAGTGGTGCTAGGCGAATATGACGTAAGGAAAGACCCTGATTGCGAGCGTATCGAAGAGCAACAATTTTGTGCACCAAGCGTCAGAGTAAGTTTAATTTGTTTTCGTTTACATTATGAATAGGTTTCACCCGGTGGCGAACTAACCTCATTAGAAGCCCGGGGCGGCATGAGGCCTGGATCAAAGACTAGTCCCTACGGACTGTACTTATCAGGAGGCCCCTCAGGATCCGTTAGTCCGCCACTGGTTTCACCTCAATAGTTCAACGACGATCGAAATCAGACTGTATATATGTTAACGTAAGATATCTTATTATCATGTGAGACGTTACGGTTATAATACAGACAAATACCTACACACGTTAACATAGCTCACTACAATAGCAGCTTCCAAACAAAGATGAAATTAATACTTAATCGAGTAACACTATAAATAAATTTACTTTAAAAAAAATAATAATAAAATCATTTCAATGAAAAAGGTAGAAATATTTTTTTCAATCTTGTCATAGAAACGATATCAACGAGATATGGTCATGTATCTAAATATTTAAAGAATTTTGAAATGGTTCCGAAGATAACTTTTATGAAATCTTAATAGTCTATATTTATAATAATATTAATATAACTATTAGTATAGGACTACAAATATCGTACAAATAGTAAGGATTTAAAGTTAATTGTAACAGTAATCGGGAATTTCCCCTATGATATATTATTGTAAAGGACGGTTTCGTTCTCAGTAAAGTTGTCGTGAGTAGCTCGGTGGCGTACTGAATAAGCGTCGCGGCCCGCGATCGTAGTCGTTAAGCAACTTTCGCAAGGGTCGGTCACGGGATGGGTGACAAAAAAAATAATATCTAGAGCTACTCCGTGCATGTTAAGCCGTTGGTCCTGGCTGCATTTGCAGTTGTTATTACCCTCCAATCCGCATTGGGCCAGCGTGGAGGGTCATGGCCTATCCTCCTTAACCATCCATAAGGAAGGCCTGAGCCCCTGCAGTGGGGACGTAAAAGGGCTGGTGATATATGATGAAAGTTGTCTTAAAAATGATATAGTTATAATAACTAGCTGATCCAACCATGCATTGCTGTGACTCAGACAAAAAATCGAAATGAAAGTTAGATCAAATTACAGATACTTGTAAAATTTTACATTGTGATACGTAATTTTTATATATTGATATATGATATCTAACCATTATATAATTTACTCGATTCTACATAATGCCTTTTTATTCTACTGCGACTGTGTGAATTACACGTATCGTCTATGGTTCCAATGGCTTACATACCAGTTCTAAGTTTTCTTCATTGTCCCGGGTTTGATTAACGTCGGAAGAATATAGAGAGCGATTTTAACTATATTGTCTCGGGTCTGAAAGTTTAACTTCATTAGTTTAGTTTTCCACAATAGAAGTGGTATTAGCTACATAGCTTGAAATATCAGCAATCTATGTGAATCTTATGTTTATTTTAATGTTTTACATTTTCAGAACGTGTCTGTGGAAACAGTAGTCGCTCATAAGGGATACAGCCCTCAGACTTTAGTCGATGACATCGCACTATTAAGACTTTCAGAACCAGCTGACTTCAATTTGGGTTTGTAATCTATGCTAAATTTCATAAATCTTGAAAGAGGCAACCGAAAAAGAAACGTAAAGAAATTATCGTAAAAACACTAATGAAACTTATTTCTGTGATTCAAGCAATGATCATCCTCTCAATTCCATTTATAAAATTTGTTTAAAGCCTTGTCCAAAATTATTATTCAACATATTTCTGACTGATACACAAGAATGAAGAGCCCGACGGCTTAGTAGTTAGCGGGTTTGGTTTATTATCGAGGAGTTAATCTCCGCAAATTTCTCAAATCCTGTCGTTGTATGGGAGACCAAAAATTACGATAATTATATCTTTGATAGAGAAGTTTTGGAAGTCACAGTTGACAGTTCATCGTTACGTTATTTTGTTATTAAAAAATTCTTATTATTGCCCACCACTTTTAACCAGCCCATTACTCATTCTCCATATTTGATTTGATTTCATCCATATTATAGTATCTGTTACCACCAATCTCTTTAATTTTGGTACTTTATACCTAGGAAATGTATAGAATAGTGGGGGTGTTTACGGAATGTATAAACTCTTATAGTGCTATTAATAAACAAGGTTTAGCGGCAGAGTAAATTTGCGCTAAAATTGCAATTTTAATATTAGTCTAAATTCATATTATACAGAGAAGAAGCAAACTTACTCCATTCTAGGAGTAAATATTACTCCCGTAGAACTTCGTACTAGATTAAATTGTTTGTTTAATAATATGAATTGTAACTAATACTTAGTGTAGTCTTAGTGTAAATTTACTCGAACGCTAAATCTTGTTTGTTAATAACATTAGGGATTGTACGTGTATAGAGTGACTGCTGTTCCACCAGTGAAATAAATAGATCTTGGTCTATAGCAAAGAATATCATAGTTGATTGTAAAGTGCAAAATTATAACGTAGCAATCGTCTTATAAATTTTAAGGTTTTATTAGACCACAGAAATAACATAACCTACAAAAATATTTAACATGATATTGACTTAAGGATTAAAATTCTATTGTTAAATAATTTTTATTATAAAATATTTATAAAGTCGCATCATACTTATTGAATGCCTGAACGCGTGTCACTTGTTTCTTTGATCTCTTTCTTTTCATACATTACCTGTACGTTTCAGGGATTCTATATATTCTCCAGATATTGTTATATAAATCACATAAGTGACCGAGTTTTAAGAAATAATTGTTTTAAATTTTTAACAGAAAGTATGAGCCCCGTATGTCTTCCATTCACGTCAAAACTTCAAACTGAAGACTTGGTTGGGCGTTCAGGCATCGTTGCTGGTTGGGGAGCAACGGAAGATGGATTGCAATCTCCAGTTCTTCTGAGTGTAGATTTGCCAATAGTGGGAAACAAGGAATGTCAGGATGCTTACAATGGGTAAGAAGTATAAAATAAACGAAATAAAATGTATGAGCGAAAAAAAGACGCAGGAGTTGCTCTCGAAAGAAAAAGTCTAATAAGATTCAGAAGGTATAGCTTCAAAGGACTGAAAAAGCCGAGAGTTTTGGCGGCCGAATAACAGCAGGCTAATTTGGTATAATAAAAGCGACATTTTTAATGTGGAAATTGTATTTAATACTAGCAGCTTGCCCCGGCTTCGCAAGGATTTTTAACATTTTTTTAATACATTTATTTGCCAAATGGTCAGTTGCACAAACGTCCATTAAGGTTTAATGACGGCTTTAAGCTGTAATTAATGTCAAATTAGTATGGGTAATGTAGCTTTAAACTTTTCACCGTGGGAGAGTCACGCTTCGGCATGAATGGGCCGGCTCGACCGGAGTGATCCACGGCCTCACAGAAAACCGACGTGAAGCAACGCTTGCGTTGTGATTTGTCGTGTGAGTGAGGGTACCGGGGTTGAGGGTTAGAGGGAACTCAACCCTTTCCTCCAAGGCCGGCAGCGCGCTTGTAGCCCCTCTGGTGTTGCAGGTGTCCATAGGCGATGGTAATCACTTACCATCAGGTGATCCGTCTGCTCGTCTGCCCCCTATCCCATAAAAAAAAAACTTATGAAAATTTTAATAGACGTTTGTCAGTCAGAGATAATGTAGGAATTTAATGATAAAATAATGTTTTAAATCGGTCCAGTAATGTCATAGCCTATAAAATGCAAAAAAAAATCAATAAAACTTTATTTTATATACTAATACTGTAAAGAGAAAAGATTTTATTGTTTGTTTGTTTGCATTGACTAGGCTCCATAACTACTAGACTGATTATAAAAAAATTTCACTTACGGGAAGATATATCATACGTGGGTGATGTACTGTTATAGACTATAATTTACTCGGGTAACGTCGCGGAAACCGACTAGCTTATAATATTGGTATATATAAACTGTTTTGTTTTAGTAACCCTCGCATATACGATCGTCAATTATGCGCTGGCGGCATTCAAGACAAGGATTCCTGCGGTGGCGATTCTGGTGGCCCTCTAATGTACCCTGGAAGTGTGGGACTTAAGGGAGCGCGGTACGTCCAGAGGGGCATCGTGTCATACGGGTCAAAGAGATGCGGCTTAGGAGGTTTACCTGGAGTCTACACAAGGCTCGCCTACTATATGGATTGGATATTAGACAATATGCACGACTAAATTAATGTTAATATTTCAAGATGGTATAAAAACCATGTACTTACACACTTGTGGATTTTGAAGCAGACGCGCACAAGCGTAAATTTTTCTTTATTAATAAAGGATAATTCTGTGATATTGACGTTAAGTAAGGATTCGTTTAGATTTATGACTACTAAATACTTTTTTTTTTAATCTATATATGAGACAAGATCAAGGAAAACATTTTGTTTTTCTATTTGTGATTGAGTAAATAGTCTGTTTAAATGTAATCTTAATCGTTTAATAGAGAGATATGCGTGTGTTTTTTTAATAAAAATGACAGAAGCATTCAGGTTAAATTACAATAGAATAATAAATATAATTCTCAAAATATAACGTCTTTCATTCCTCACGTTTAAGGTTTGGACAGTTTTTTGCTATATAGTCTTAAAATATAAATTATTATATATCTAGATCAGTGTTTTCAAAATGTTGATATTACTTCCTCGTGAATACTAGAAATGTTAAAAAAATTGAAAATTGAAATTAAATACTTTTAGTCTTATCGTAAAAAGATATATTTATAAACTGGTGGTCGAAGTCTAGATGGTTAAGATATAATTTTTATAGACATTTTGATTTACTTTCTTATTTATATTTAAATCATATTATTTATATCATAATTTTTAAATCATAATCATATTATTATTGATTTAAAGCGACAAATATTCTGTTAAAAATAAAACTTGACACATAGTTTCAGTATTTTTCATCGTATTCTATATTTCATGGTAAGTTAATCGTTTCTACCTATTTACATGTGACGATGCCTTTTAGATTAAGTATATTAGGATTGTATGTTTCTTCACTTAGAATCTTAAGTAAGTACTTAGAAAACAATACATTACGCTACGTATTTGTTTGTTCTTATCAAAAAGGTATAAGGTACATATAATTGAAATCAATTAATCAGAAGTACTGAAGGTACTCTCATGTGTTAGAATCGTCTTTAAACACTATTATAAGCATTAACAATAATATCTAATATCATTTATTAACCTCAAATACCCTCATATGATTACAATTTTTTTAATCCAAAGTGACTTATAGACAACGAAACAAAATGGATTATGACTCAGTGACGGTGTACCCACCACCACCAGCCCTTTTTCGTCCCCACTGTAGGGGCTCAGGCCTTCCTTATGGATGGTTAAGGAGGATGGGCCATGATCCTCCACGCTGGCCCAATGCGGATTGGAGGGTATTAACGACTGCAAATGCAGCCGGGACCAACGGCTTAACGTGCCTTCCGAAGCACGGAGTAGCTCGTGATAATAATTTTTTGGTCACCCATCCCGTGACCGACCTTTGCGAAAGTTGCTTAACGACTAAGATCGCGGGCCGTGGCGCTTATCCACTACACCACCGAGCTACGGTGTACCCATTAGTATTTAATAAAAATAAGATATCTATGCTCTTGGTGCACCCCAAGAATTCTAAGAAGTTTATACTAAAATAAAAAAACTTCTTGGTGCACCCGCAGCCCTAGCCTCTGTTAGTTATTGTGAACACTACACACTCTAGGAACAAGATACCTACTTCATCTTTACTTCATCCAAGATTTGAATACACTATGCTACGAATTATCAAAAATGACTATAAAAGTCATATCATAATGACATATATGTATACAATTTTTTTTTATTAAATATTTATAAAACACTAAGTATGTGTTAATATTTTTGTGAGCTTAAATCGCTTTCTATAGCAATAGGTTATAAGTATCCAGCGCACTGATTTACTTACTCAATATTCCACAAGCAAAAACCCCACTGAAAATGTGCTCTGAAATCAATGAATAATAGACGATATCATGTTACCTATAGAAATTCATTAGTAATGAAAATGTAAACATGTCGAAACAGAAGATGTCAAACAGAAACTGCAGTTGACTTTATAGAAAAGCAATTAAACAAATGTTATCAACACAATATTAACTATCTCTGAATTCTCCTTGGCATCGTTATGACATGTCTTCAGATGTGTCTGAGCCATGTTGCAAAATCAACCAGGAAGCAGGCTCGTCATCAGCCGCCAGGAAAAGATCAAGTTCATCTGTACGGAAATGTCTGCGACCCCAAAACTCTGGCATGGTTAATCAGGGGCGCGGAATCACGTCTGAGACTGTGTCTGCTGCAGCTTCTGGGGACGGATCACAAAGACCAGAAGTTTGTGCATTAACGTGTCCTCAGGCAGTACAAGCGACATCACATTCTTCAAATGCATCACGTTCTAATGTAACTAAGGAACTTACTGTGCTTAAAACATACGAATGCCCAAGTGCCAACATGTAATTCAATTAGAGACCTAGAACGATAATGTATCATTAAAATATTTTATTTCAGTCTTCGGCAACATTCAAAATTACGTTGATGAAAACTTGGAACGACGCCTGGGCCTTTTGGAGACAAGTACAAGAAGATCGATTCAAATGGAGCCTATTCAAGAGTATACTTTTCTTCACTGTCGGTCTTAAGTTAATCAATGATTTAGCCCGCCATTTTGGGAAACCGCAGGATAGATGCGGTAGATAAAAAAATAAAGAAGAAAATAAGTTTTATCAGCTATTTATTTATAAATTATATAATCATTTTTGATAATGTATTATAAAAAGTTTAAGATTATGTTTTTAATTTTATATTTTCATAAATTTCAAAAACAAAGACACACTTAACTGCCTCCATCATCAGATTAATTACAATCTCTAATAATATTGCATTGACATTCAAGTTAATATACTTGCACAAGTAATAATCAATCGAAATCTGGGAAGTGGGTTGCAAGCGATAACCAAATAATTGAAACACTATGAATGACTGAAAAATCTGCCGTTAGAAGTATGTTCAATCAAGTTCTTACTTATAACCGTAATGTTAAATTCCTAAAAATAGCAGCGACTAATTATTGATTTATGATGATGAAATTAATTAAAAAAATAACTTTAGTTAACGATATTATGCAGTGAAAACCCCTGATTTAAACAGGTCCAATTGAAGGTAAAGTATTTTCATATTTTACCATATTTCTTACTTATTATAGCGTTATGTATAAATGCAAAATGTATCAAAAGTAACACGATAGAATTTCGAATTTGAAAAAGGTTATGCCTTTACTAATATATAATACTAATATGTAATATGTAGAGTAGCTCAAGATTATTATAGTAAAGAAGGAAAGATTTAATTGTTTGTTTGTTTGCATCGACTAAGCTTCGAAACTATTGGACCGATTTTAAAAATTCTTTCACCTACAGGTAACATACATACATATATGGTGTTGACATAGACTATAATTTACGCGTGCGAAGTCGCGGGACAACAGCAAGTTTTTAAATAAAGAAGTAAAGCAGCAATTGATATAGAACATTTTGTTATTCATTACGGGTATAGCTCTAAGTCAAAAGAGACATATGAAACGAATTTTCTTTAAACCATGTTAATGAATGAATAATTGTCATTTCTACTTCTTGTCTACTTGTCATCATTGGAATTCTGACAATTCTGCACATATGAAAGAATTCTAAAATTCCTTTCTTTCGCTTCCTAAGGCGTGTTCTATTCTGAGATATGTATGATCACCTTTAACTGTCTCATTCTAGGGAATTTGAAGAGACAAAATAAATTGCACAATAAATGTTATCCTTGTAGATGACGTATTAGTGTGAAACCAATATAAACTTTATTTATATAAAGATATAAAGTCCAAAACTGCTGAAGCATTATAAAAATAATATAAAATGACAATGTAATAAACCGTCGCCTACATTTGCATATTCTAGTTAGGTATTTAATGTGATTTTTATAATATTTATATTTCTCGCTTCTAGCTCATTAAATACTCACTAAATACAAATTAGCGTAACTTATTTTAATTATATTTTTATAACAATTTATTTCTGTAATTTGTAAGATGCACTGCACTAATACTAAAAATATGTAAATATTGATTATATTTGATCAATTTTGTATTCAAAATGGTATACTAAAAATATTTTAAATGAATAATGCTTAAAAAATCCACTTCGTCCCTAGCACTCTGATATGGGACTCGAACCTTTTGCAACCTTTCTTGAACCTTTCGAACTTTTTCTTGACCTTTCGCAATCCGGGTGACTAATCTTGTCAAAAGGTCATGGGTTCGAGTCCCATCTGAGAGTGCTAGATACAAAGTAGATTTTTAAGCATTTTTCATTAAGAATATGTAAGTATGGCAATTATTTTAGGAATAAAAAATATTCAACTTTCTTTCAACACTTACTAATATTTTGTTTATTTGAGATTGATAGACTCAAACACTGTTGGACTGATTAAAAAAAAAACTATATTTAGGCACGAATATCACAGAGTCAGCCATTTATGTATAACGGCTAGTTATAATTGAAATAGCTGACTCTGTGACTTTGTTGTCCTGCGACTTCGCCTACGTAAATTAAAGCCTATGTCACCCACCCGCGTACATATATATGTAGCTTCCTATAGGTGAAAGTTTTTTTTTTAAATCGGACCAGTAGTTGGGAAATTCATTAAATGCAAACAAACAATCAAATGAAATAGCCGACTCTGTGACTTTGTTGTCCTGCGACTTCGCTTACGCAAATTATAGCCTATTTCACCCACCCGCGTACATATATATGTAGCTTCCCATAGGTGAAAGTTTTTTTTTTTAAATCGGACCAGTAGTTGGGAAATTCATTAAATGCAAACAAACAATCAAATGAAATAGCCGACTCTGTGACTTTGTTGTCCTGCGACTTCGCTTACGCAAATTATAGCCTATTTCACTCATCCGCGTACATATATATGTAGCTTCCCATAGGTGAAAGTTTTTTTTTAAATCGGACCAGTAGTTGGGAAATTCATTAAATGCAAACAAACAATCAAATGAAATAGCCGACTCTGTGACTTTGTTGTCCTGCGACTTCGCTTACGCAAATTATAGCCTATTTCACCCACCCGCGTACATATATATGTAGCTTCCCA